AAGGCTGCCGGAATCGAAGGAGTGGCAGGTTGTAGAATGATCGCACGCCAGTATATCGAGGTCGGGTTCCGAGGGAAAAATACTCACGCAGGAGGGACTCCATGGATGGGAATTAATGCACTCGATGCAGCAGTTGCAGCATATAACAACATCTCCCTTTTGCGGCAGCAAATCCTTCCTGATGAACGCATACATGCGGTTTTTCTAGATGGCGAGAAGACTATCAACGTGATCCCAGCTCAGGCGCGGGTGGCACTTCAGGCCCGCAGTCTGAATCTCAATGGGCTACAGACACTAGTGGAGCGGGTCATTAACTGCGCGAAGGCTGCAGCAACGGCAACGGGGTGTGAGGTTGATATTCAGAAGTATGTTTACCTTTCATGGCTGACAGACTTAAAACTTACAGGCGCTGATGAATTGAAAACAGAGAACCATACTATGCAGATGTCATGGTGAATGAGACACTGTGTGAGAGATATCAGGAAAATATCGCGGCGTATGGGAAGGGTGTGCTCAAAATTCGGGATCAGGTTGCCTCCGGCTCATCCGACGTCGGTATGTTACTCCAATATACCTCGTAAATCATGATACTAATTATCGGAAGGAAATGTCGGCTATGTCGTTCCGGCATTGCATGCTCTGTTTGGAATTCCATGTGCGAAAGGAGTATCACCTCATAGTGCTAATTTCGCTGATGCAGCAGGAACTGATGCAGCTTATGAAAGTGCAATCATTACTGGCAAGACATTGGCGCTTGTAGGATTTGATGTCGCCACAAAAGATGAAGTGTTCCAGGCAGTGTACTCGAATTGGCAAAAGGAGATGGCCAGAACTTAAGAGAAGTCATATGATCCTGTTTTGGACCTTACGTAGTGCTCAGTTCTTCAGCCTTGGCCATATCAAGGTCTGTTTGACGCCGTACATACCTATGATCAATCATTTTCTGCTTCTAGTGCTTTGCCGGCCTAGCCAACTTTGTGTTTAAAACTCCAGCATATTTTCCAGCGTACATTAAAAACGGATCAAATTGTACGTCGTAGCCTGGTTCAAGAATAGGGAAGTCGGTCCACCATGGGCCAATCAGGGGAAAACGCTTATCGTTGTGTTTACGGCTCCCCGCAACTAGTCTCGTTTCGGTTCATGAGGCTTATCTTCGAACACCGTTCTTTTCTCTCTTCTTCTTTCTCCACATCCGCACCCCCACGTGTTTTGGTCTACTACTTAAGCGTCATTACACTTCAATGATTCTTTCCCTCTTGGCTGCATACACACCAGAACGTTATATTTCCGTCGTCGCGAAGACCACGCAATCCATGCCACAAAGATCAAGGACAGGTTGCACCACCTGTCGAGAACGCAAGGTAAAATGCGACGAACGGCGTCCAATTTGCAATACCTGTCATCGTTTGACTCTATCATGCAGCTGGAATCCTCAAATCCGGAAGCAGCGGACAATGCGAACACCAAAGCAGACTAACTCACACAATCAACCTGCACACGGGTTTGCACACCCGCGGCCTATAAGACCCAAGGTTCTCCTGAGTCACCCCTCTCGTCTGGGGATCCTAGGTGCGCCCGTTACAGCATAGTCCCTTCACCAGATGCCCATGTTGAGATCAATTCTTTTAGGGCCAATACTCCCAGTGTTGGATACTAGCCATATTCCGTGTGCGAACTCTTTACTTCTTTCGTCGACAGACCGCCAGTGTCTAGAATACTTCTCTTCTTCAAACCTTGTCGCTTGGACCGGAAAACCCTGGAAATGGAGCTGTCTTGCATATATCTACCATAAACTGGCTCCTCGGAATGCAGCCATAATGTATATGATAATTGCTTCGTCGGCGAGTGAATTACAGAACCTGGGGCACTCATATTTGCGTCCGGCCTCGCAACATGCGGCTCAAAATTATGGCATTGCACTTAACGAGTTGAATCTCTTACTCAATCAAGATGCGAAGCCAGACTTGGACTCAAGTCTCACTTGTCTCTTCTTGATGGCATATTATGAGCTGAAGCTTGGTTATTCCAATAAACACCTTACAGTTCATCTGAAGGGTGTTGAAGCTCTGCTGGAGTCTGGAAACTACATTTCAGCCCTCGGCAGGAATAAGTCGCTGACATCAGACGAGAATGAGATGGCTGAAGCCGAGATCCAGCCGTTCTCCTCTCTCTCTGCACTACTGCTGGTTTGGATATTGTGAGGCTTATTTACCTATCCCACCCAATCTTATATCCGGACAACAAAATGACTTTATGGCAGCTATATTAGTCTCGGAAGCGGTCTCCACACCGTCCCAGATAGCTTTATCACAAAATTATATCATTCTGTCAGAAGTCCTGACTGTTTCCTTGTCCGAACTGCCCGAAAGGCCCATATGCAGTGCTGGGGGAGCGAGTACCCGCAAGACGAATGGTTGGACGACTTGGAAAACTATCGCACCCTTGAGTTACTACACGAATCTTTCTCTCTCCGTTCCAGGGTGTGTCAGATGTGGTCTACACCGGATCTAGAGTACAGAACATTGCCTCTTACGGAGGATGAATTTTTTTGTCGATTGCAGCATATGAGACAGGTCAGCTCGTTTCATTTGTCAAGCCTCCGTTACGATAATATGTTCTTACCAAAAGCAGAGTTACAACGACATCTTCATCATGGCAAAGCGAACTTACCGTGCTCCTGTGGGTCGGGCTCTCTATACAGCCCAGCTCGCGGTGGTGTACTACTCAGGTCTCCTACTTTTTCATCGGCGCATGCTATACCAAGATAGCCTTATGGAGGTGTCACATCTTGAAGCCCTCTCTACCATACTCCATATCGCATATGAGGCTTATGCCCACGACAAAAGGAATATGTCTCCTTTTTCGTGGGGGCTTGAGATGGCGGCTATTGAGACACATGATCCTATCTACAGCGGCTGGATTCGGGATCGGCTTTCGGAGGCTCCTAATAATTATCGCCATAGCGTTATTGTTAGTTAGACTTTGGACCCGATGCTGCGGTCATACAGGGACTACAAGTCATTTCACTAGGAATACGTGCACAGATAGCTCGGAGTGAACGTATATATATTAATCTCATGACCTAACAACCTGTTTGTGGGATCACTTTAGTGATACTCGGAGCTGTTGATTCTATATATACTTGAAGTTTTGCAACAAAACGTTTTTCATAACATTTCAAATTCAAAACGACCTCAGGGCCAAGGGTCATTTCGAAGGAAGTAAGAATTGGGCAAAGAATAGAGCGGGGAGTATGAGGAATTTGTGAAACGCGAATAGCAGATACAATTGCAGCGGATCCTCGTGGGTTAGTAATTTTGTTAGTAGGCTGGCTTGAAGGTGCTTCTCAAAGTGTTCAACATCCTACTGTATCTCCGGCAGTTGAAGCGCGTCTACTATCTGTAGCACGAGGTGGTTGATGAGTTAGATCGGGAAAAAGGGGGCGTTTTATGTTCGTCGGCATGGTTAAGTGGCCTCGAGTCGGCCCGTCGCGAGGGCGAATCGTATTGAGGCCCGTACCGCTTCTAAGTCTGGCATCTACTTCTGATCATCAGAAGGCGATTTCCCTCCCAGGAAGAAGGACATGTTTCCTCCGTGGGTATTGGTACATTGTAACAGTTCTGTCCGTTGCGCAGTCCACTTCCGACATTGAAAAAGAAAGTGCTCAACGGCCTCTCTCGCTTGTCCACATACACACTGATCCGTGTCTGCTACGTTGATTTGATAGAGATATCCATCTAGTCTTGCCATGCCTGTCCGGAGTTGAGCCATCACTCTTCCTTCTTTCCACGATAAGCAATCATACAGCTGTCGGGTGTGTTTTCCTGGAAGTGCTGTGTCCACTCGTTTGACGTGTTTCCCGACATCATCTGGCAAGCCTTTGCCAGAGGCTACATGTGATTGTGCGATGTTCAGGGTCGTTGACCTCATCCTAGGATCTTGTGCCTGGAGGAGCGCGTCCTCTTGGGTTGCGGTCCTGGCCTGCTGTTTAGCCAGGCCCAACAATTTGTTCTCTTCATTGGCAGGGACCCAATGGATGTGGATCTGATTTCCGGTTCTACGTACCTTCCTGATTAGTCGGTAAATGTGGCAGACATGTCCCTGGCCCGACTGCTGTCAACGATTTCTCAGCGTGAGTGCTGCCGCTTTGTTTCTCGTGAGCAGCGTGGCCCTGTAACCTTTCAGCCCCGGTAGCGTGTTCAATGCGCATGATATTGCTGCTAGCTCCGCCGAGTACGGGTCCTGCTCTGATCTTACGCCCACTGTGGCACAGAAGGCTCTCAGTTTCAGTTTTTGTTAGCGAGGTGGCTGCTTTTCAATCGCTCCACCAAATCCTACCAACTCGTTACGCGCCGAGCTGCTGACCGCGATCCGCATGGCTCCGCATACTTCGGTCTATAACTCTTGGGATTCATGAATATCAGTCCGCACGCGATCTTCCCATGGGGCGAACGTAAATGGGTTAATCGGTTCCAGTGGTTCCATCTCGATGTGCTTGAGCGCGTCTGCTACGTGGTACAACGGCGAGCGGTGGTATCGTCTGAACTTCCTGATCCGATCTGTATTTATGCGCAGAGGATTGGTTTCTGGCAGGGTGTGCATGTCCGTCCACATCTTCACGGCTCGTTTCCAGAAACGGTCTTGTGCAGTGGCAATGTGGGCCTCCGCCTCCGCAACACTGGTTGTGAGGAATGTCCCTACAATCGCTTGCGCTCCTATTCTTTTGACGCGGTTGATTGATCCAATGGCCGTACCCTTGAAACCATGCATCCAGAAATTGGAGGCGTAGTCCACGACTGGGGCCACCGTCGAGGTCAGGAATTTTTTCGGCCCGAGCCCTACAGACCTGCGCTACATGCCTTTAAGAGTGATATCAAATCGAGGGGGATCTAGGCATTTGGATCAACTCGTTATGAGTAATGTATATTCAATGTTTAGGTGTACGCTAAATGAGAAGCAGATGTATATATACAAATGTTATCATGCAGTTGATTTCCCGATTAAGCCTGAGGTTGGAGAATCATGTTGTCGATCAATCGTACAGGAACCTTTCCATCTCCCAAACCGCAATCCTCTCCAGGCTCAGTCTCCTCCAGAGGGGCCATATCAAAGGCAGTACTTAGAACGACTCCCTTCTTGAGATCGACGAGGTCGAGCTCCTCCAAACTCTCGGGATCAGCGAGGGAGATGTAGTCAACTTCGTACAGCGCCCGCTCTGACGGAGGGAGCGACTGCTGCTCGGACAGTACACGCTCAGCGACACTGCGAGAAGCCCCCAAAATATCATCACGAGAGGTCTTGCCTGCTTTGTATGCCTCCGCTGCAGCACTCAGGGCTTTGTGGAGGGTGAGTCCCACGATCCGCCTGCGAGCTCCGAGATAAACATTCCGAGAGCTTAAGGCCAGGCCGTCAGCTTCGCGGGCGGTTGCAACAATCCGAACCTCAGTATCAATAAGGAAGTCTTTAACCATCCTTTTGACGATCACTGTTTGTTACACATCCTTCTGGCCGAAGTAGACACGATCGGGCGTGGTCATATTGAATTTCTTCATGCAGATTGTCGCAACGCCGCGGAAGAATACCGGGTGGGAGACACCTTCAAGATTTCTCGCAAGAGGGGTGATGTCGACGAATGAGCCGTGGCCGTCGATTTCCGACGAAGGTGGCAATGTAGGGTACATGACCTTCGAGGTCGGGGCGAAGATGGCAGTAATCCGTCCCGTGCCGGCACCCAAATTGCCGAGCTCTTCATTGAGCTTCTCCAATTTCTTGACGTCACCATCCCAAGTGCGAGGATAGCTTGAAAGGTCTTCGTTGACGCCAAATTGAGTCGGGTTGACGTAGATACTGACGAAGACGTCAGTGTTCTCTCGCGCGGCCTCTTGAATCAACGACAGGTGGCCTTCATGAAGGGCACCCATCGTGGGCACGAATCCGATAGTGCGATCATTTTGAACTAATTTCCGACGCAATTGGTGAAGTTCAGGCACGTCACGGAAGACTTGGAACGAGGTCGGTTGACGAGCGGATCGTGCGGCAGCCGCCGAAGCGTCTTGCAAGTAGCGAAGAGGCCGCAGCTAGGGAATGGAGGAGAGGACGTAAGCTTATAAGCCTGAATATCGCAGCTGGAACATACTGGAGAAGGATTTTACGCTGTTCACCAAGCGGGACATGGTGTGATCGAAGTTGGGTCGGATGCTTCTATTATCTGGAGCCCACTAGCTTCCAACGTCTGCGGCAAAGCGGAGATGCACGACTTACCCGTTCTGGCACGTGCTTTTCGCCGAGTACGGCGGGCAATAGGGATCACTTAGTCAAGATGGTTAACCAGCAGAATATCGATTTCGGCAATTCTGATTCCTACACAAATCGTATCCCCTCCCACATTACATTAGACGAGTGCGATTACTGCTAGAAATCGATCCAAAACGATTCAAATTAACTGACCAATAAGAGCCCTTAGATCAAAATGATACAATCTGATATAATCTGATACTGCCAATCTGATAGTGAACCACCACTGCAATACCCCCGAACCCCACCACCCACCCCTCAGTCCTGCAATCGAGACCAGGTCTGCGGAGTTGGCCCAGACGCCTGCATGCGCTGATGATCTTGAGGTTTTAATTGATAGCGCTTTCGAATCCCTGGAGGCGAAACCAACGAGCTTGTTGATACTTCACGGCGGCGACGGCGAGGTTTTGATGGTAGACTAACCTCCTGGCTGACCTCCTGCTCAGTTTCTTGCTCGGTCTCCTGGCTAATACTCTAGTGAATCTGTTCTTCGCCCTCCTAGCGAATACTCTAGTGAATCCGTTCGTCTTCCTAGCGGATCTGCTGGCCAACGCTAGCTAGCAGATCGGATACTCCACGAGAAGGGAGACGAGGAAGGGTCCGTACGTTAAAAAGCTCCGAAGGAGTGGGGGGCCTAGTACGGAGTACTAGAAGAAGAAGTAAGATCAAATTGAATTAGTGTGTGTGGGTCATATAACTTTACTGGTAGTAGTAGAAGGAAGATGGGCGAGAGGAGGTGTATATAAGAAGGGGAGGGGTGGTTAAATTCGTATTTAAATACGGAGTAGTGTGACGGGCTTGGCAGTAATCAAGCAGAAATCAGGCCCCAGGTGGTGCCGCCAGGCTTTCTATATTGTCTAGCTCTTCTCTGTCTGTATTATCGTCTTTATTGAGGTGTTGAGCTCGAAGACGTTAAATTCCAGAGCTCAACTGATCATATATATTTTGCAGCCTTTCGTTTTCTTTCTCGAGCTTCTCGTAGTAATCGTCCGAAGCTGTAGCCAGAGACTTATTCCTCTGTATCTAGTAAGGACACTGTATGTAATCAGATTCCAGATTATCGAAGTCCCTTTGGATTCTGGACAATTCTGTCCCGAGTTTCTGCGAGTTCAGACCTAAGTCTTTTATTCGAATTCGTAGTAGTGTTGATTAAATAGTCGCAAAGCTGTGATCCTCGATCGTTCTATCGGACTCCTTGTATAATTAGCTTGCTTACTGTGAGGTCCTGTAACTGATAGTGAATAGGCTTAACTCACTGAAAGAATTGTGCCAATTTCACGTCGGAGACGTCGTCTCTTAATACGATGCGAATCATTCGCGATTATTGTTGCATTTGACATAATGTTAACCTACTTGAGAATTGGAAACCGGCAATTTATGAGAAGTTGGCTACGTTCCAAATAGCTCTCCGAATTCTAATAGCCACAATCGAAATACTTTCAGATGAAAAAAAGCATTTCTTAAATGATTGACTACAGTAACTTTGACGACATATAAAAGGGGCTAAATACTCTTCTTCCTAGCCCCTAATCTACAATAGAATGTGTTGACCTCCTCAAGCCTAGTGTATGCTCGGTCGCTAACAAGAAGGTTGTTGTCTTGTCACTACGCGTATAGAGAGAGGGTTTAGAAAGGGAGACCCATAGACTATTTTACTGTACCCTGTCTTCCGATCCGAAAGAAGATTCAAGCGCCTTTTGTAGGCTACGTGGAGTGCAGCAAGTAGGCAATGCAGCATCACAAAAGCGAATCCACTAGTAGCAATATCAACCTTGTCCATATTTTGGGAACAGCTGATCGGAGCGCAGTGTTATCGAATCTGCATCAACAAGTACTGGGGTAAGGGAGGACATAGGGGAAGGCAATAAGCAAGAGGCTCTGCAAGCGGGTCTATAGTGTCGGAAAAATCTCAGCGTACGAGATTGCGACCGCATCGCATCGCTCTACAAGATCTACCACTGCCCTGGTAGGCTAATGACAGCCATAAAAAATACAAGGTATTAGGGTAGGGAGGGAAAAGTGATCGGAGAAAGTAACACAGGTTGCGGCTGCGTAGCCCGAGCCTGAGAGGATATGGCTGATATTCTGTAGTAAGCCCCCGCCAATCGCTTAGCTTGACAAAAGTCCAAAACATAATAATCTCGCTTTTGCTACCATAGAAATCATGATTGGTCATCAGCCATAGTTCAAACAATAATCTTTAGCAACACGGCGAATGTGAATAGTAATAACAGTGTAAAAATAAGCTCTCCCCACAGCTCTCCAAAACTCTTTATTGAGTCAAAGGGAAGGGTTCTTGATCCGTCGATCAGACAAATGTGCGGGAGTAGACCGGCACGAGCTTCCATAGTTAGGTATAAGGCGGTTTCCACTCAACCAGGCTAACTCTGCGAATAACGGCAAAAGTCCCTTTGCATTAGCGCGTCTTCGGTACCATAGTTCCCATCAGCCAAGTTAGGATTCAGACCTGCAAAATACCCGTAGTTTGCCGACAGACAGTCATGCTCATCTTATTTCTCTCCAGTGCCATTCGGTGGTCACTGTGCATGTAAAGCAACATAACGTCCATACTAACTGTTAAAGTCACTGGTTACCCCCCTGTTTTTTTACAGATCGTCCACGATGGGATGCCACTATTCCATTCGCTTGCTTAGACATCCATCCGGTATTGATATCAACGCCATAATTGGAAGGATACTCATGGCAATCTTTTCAGGGGCCTACCTAGTCCTTAATACAATTCTTGATTGGTCCAATAAAGTCAGAAGTGGAGCGTTCATTTATAAGTTATGCATTGAATGTGTTATTTATGCAGCATAAATGACGCGATTCATCCGATGATTCATAATTAAAAATAATAACATCTTATCTTATTTTATGAACGCACTATTAGGGGTTGCAAACCTCACATTCATGCACACCTAAACAAGTCCTTTCATAATTAATTCTTTCATTTATAATTTGATCTATCGCCTACTGATCTTAGTTGGATAACCCACCTTTGACTTTTCTCTTTCACTCCCAATCCGCTCCCTACCATAAACAACCGCTTTGTTTCATTTCCTATCTTGTCCTTCCTTCCTTCCATTTCGACCATCATGGCCGGTTTGGATTCCCAGAAATCAGCCTCGAATCTCTCGACTCCCAACGATAAAGAAGGCGAATATCACGGACCCGACATTGAAAAGCAGCCCACGAAAGACGAAACCTATGAAACAAGGGAGGCAGCGAGGAGATACCCAGAAACTGATCTAAGCCGAGGCGTGATCGGGTGGGATAGCCAAGAGGATCCCCAAAATCCTCAGAATTTTGCCGCAAGCAAAAAATGGGCACTGCTCGGTTTGATCAGCGCTTTCACATTCATTTCACCACTTGCCTCGAGTATGTTCTCTCCTGCGTTGGTGTATATGGCTGCAGAGTTTCATGAGACAAATGAGACAATTCTTTCCTTCACCGTCAGCATCTTTCTGGTGGGATATACGGTAAGCTGATATCAATTACTTTGAACAAGAAAACAAGTATCTAATTGCTTAAACATAGTTTGGTCCACTTTTACTAGCCCCCTTGAGCGAGATCTACGGTCGCCGCGTAATTCTTAGCGGTGCCAACTGGTTCTTCGTCGTTTGGCAGATTGGTTGCGCCCTATCTAAGAATATCGAAACCCTTATCGTATGTCGGCTGTTTGCAGGAATCGGAGGATCTGCCTGCATCACTCTCGGTGCTGGTGTTGTGGCGGACCTATTCCCAACAGAATTGCGAGGAAGGGCCACCTCCATCTGGAGTTTAGGACCATTGATTGGCCCAGTGGCGGGTCCAATTGCTGGAGGCTTCCTAGGTGAGGAAGTTAGCTGGCAATGGGTTTTCTGGGTTCTGCTGATAGCAAGCGGAGCTATGCAGCTTGCTATCGAGGTTCTCAACCAAGAAACATACGCTCCAGTCTTGATTAGGTGGAAGACAGCCAAGCTGGCAAAGGAGCTTGGTCGCACAGACTTGCAGAGTGCGTATGATGTTGGCCGCGAATCCCTCTCAAAGGCCCAGGTCTTGAAGCGTAGTCTTGTTCGACCAGCCTTGTTATTATTTAAGTCGCCGATTGTGTTGTTACTTTCGACTTATATGGTAAGGCTCTGATAATCTTGTCTTATGCAACTGTTCCAATAGTTCTTTGCTCACACAATATAGGCTCTTGTCTATGGTCTGCTATACCTCTTCTTCACAACGATCTCGGATGTGTTCACGAGTACATACGGCTTTACGGTCGGCCTATCTGGCCTCGCATACCTGGGTATTGGAATTGGCTTCTTTGTTGGTCTAGTGATTATCGCTTTGACAAATGATCGTATTGTCCAGAAACTCACTGCTCAGAATGGCGGCAAGTTTGAGCCAGAAATGCGCCTTCCAACCATGATAATCTTTGCCTGCATTTTGCCAATCAGCTTTTTCTGGTACGGATGGACTGCGGAAAAACATGTTTTCTGGATCGTCCCTATCATTGGCATGTTTCCCTTCGGTGTTGGCATGATGGGCGTGTTCATGCCTATTCAGACATACATCATTGACTGTTACCCGGCTTACGCAGCATCGGCCAATGCAACTCTGACGGCAACCCGTTCGCTTGTTGGTGCATTTCTTCCTCTCGCTGGCCCAGCTATGTTTCAGGCTCTCGGGCTCGGCTGGGGGAACTCGCTGCTGGGATTTCTGGCACTTGCCTTTGTTCCAATTCCGATAATTTTCACTAAGTTTGGCAAGCAAATCCGAGAGAGGTGGCCTGCCAACCTTGAGACGAAAAAGGCTAAGTGATAAAAAGGAGAGTTCGGGATTGATTTAAATAAGAAAACGCAGGATGCTGGGATTGGACGGCCGCCTCGTATTTTAAATTGACTACATAGCACAAAATATTTGTGAACAAAGCACAATTGTGGGAAAGACTCGTGCAGATATTGCCATTACCATTCCCCGGCTAATAAAACAACCGCTTCTCTGAGTAAAGAATATAGATCGCTTCTGTCACTACGCTGTCTAATGACTTTTTGTTAGACCAGTTGATTGTCCTACAAGAGAGTAAAAATGATCTGGGAGCTCAGATAACGGCTATAGAACAGAACTTAATGTGCGAGACGTGTTCAGACTAACTGCCAGTCACCTCTGGATTAACCTGCAAGGCTTCTTCCCATTTTCGCTAAACTAAGCGAGATCATGAGTATGCCTCTACATGGCATAGAAATCTAGCATGGTTCTTTCAATGCCCCACATAAGGCGACGCTGGTCCCCAAATGGCTAGTGGTAAGTCTCCGCGCATTTATTGGAAATATCTGCGCCTTTCCAGTGTTCAGCTCAGGCCGAGACCTTGGGGATCTACCGTCGAGATCTTATCCACTAAGCCTAATCGGGCAATCAGGCAGCTCTGGCGACCCTACACTATATACCTTAGCATACAGCCCTACTTGTAACTTTCCTTCCTCTATATCTCTCCATTACCCCCTTGCTATCGAACTACGGTATATTTTATCCCCAAATCATCGACTTTCATCAAATATGTATCAGATATCTATCAGGTAACTGACAGGCTCACAGATCTAGCAATTTTTTAGAAAGTTTCAACAGTTTTCGGCTTAAGGTGAGTGGCTGGTGGTAATACTGGTGGTGGAGAGTGGTTGGATATCTAGCAGACGTCTGGGCGGCAGAAATCTGCTAGATATCTGACTACGGCAGAGTTATCTAGCTGTCACTAAGTAGCTAGATATCTGATAGTTATCTAGATAGCTCCCCCTAAGGTCAACAAGCCAAAGTTCCTTGCGAACTTCGGCGCGTTCGACCGGTATCTGAATAATACCCCCTCTGGTGTTTTAGCCCTTCTAGTATACGAAAGAGTAAGTAGATATCCCGTAGATATCTGACAGATAACTAATAATAACATAATACCGATAACGAAGTTATCGTCTATATTAGTGAGGTGTTTTGCTGTGTGCCGGACTGCGAGTATAGAAAGGTAAGTTAAGTTTGTAAATATTGTCAACATGTGTGTGTGTGTGCATATCCCTGCAATAAACGAGCGCATGCATGCGTATGCGCGCTAATGCAATCGGATGCATAATTCTGTATCCCCGATACACCACTTCATGATATACGATGTTGATTATCAACTATTGCATCGGATGGAAAGAACGAGTTTCCTAACACTCTCATATGCCCCCATGTTATTTCAAATTTCCACCAGTCTTTTCCTGTGACATTCTGCTATGTACCCAAAGTTATAAATACTGCCTGTTTCCCTAGTTAAATACAACAAGTTTGACACCATTTTCACTCACCAATAGAGCTCAAGGCAATTCTGATTAAACTGCGTTGACCCTCCACTGTTCAACCTGTTCGCTGCCGACCCACCTCTATTGCACTTTCGTCACTCTTCCATAATCGTGGTATTCGATCGACCTGTGTGCGCCTACAAGCACACGCCTCAGGGTTTATGCACACGGCGTAAATCCGACAGATACGCTATCACTGTAAGCTATTCGAATACTTAGTCGGTTTACCTACACTACGATCGCAGCAGCCTACCCCTAAAGCTAAAAGATCCTCTAGTTAGCGTTGGCAAGCCTGCGAAGCGATCGCGCGCCTCTCGCCGATATAGTTACTACTTCGCTACCTACCTAGCGAAGGTTAACGGGGGTAGTTTTTGACTGTAACGGAGGGCACTTATAGTGGTTATATCGCTTCCGAACCGGCTACGCACCCAATACACCGTCGCAATTAGTTAGAAGGGCTCCAAGCGTAGGTAATAAACCTATTTATACTGTATTGTATTACCCTAGAGGTTATCTGTATTTTACGCAAGGAGGGGGCTTAGACCGAACGAGTCGATAATAAGTCTTACGCCGACCTAGGCCGCTACTCGAAATAGAGACAATGTTTCAAGTGGCGGAGAACAACCCATTTCGGAAATGACGCACGAATCGCAAGACGAGCTCGATGACACTGACAATGATGAGGCCGGCGAAACAAAATCAGGATCTAGAGTTGTGTCCAAGTATTGGAATCAATTCAATCATGCTGGCATGGCCAAGCGCAAGATTTCTGGGGACATAATTAGTGGCACCGAAAAACACCCGTCGAGCCACTCATGACCTTCGTGGCGCCATGGAGGATGATTCATACTCAGATCTGTCAGACTCGAACAAAGACTGATGGTACTATTCGGAGGATGGGGCTGTTTCCCAAGCCTACTGGCGGTTTGTCACAAAACATGGCGGGAATCATATGAAGACATTCTTACCCGACGATGATAAATGTGACCGTTGTTTTCGGAATGGTCGAAGGTGCGACTCTACTGAGAATGGGATACCGTGCTCAACCTGCAGGAACGACAACCAAGCATGCAGACCACAGTCAAAAAGAACCAAACGGCCAGTACTTCCTGAGAACCGCCACAGACAGAAACAGATCGGAAGGTTACAACAGGAGCAGCTATGCAGAAGATACGTCCAGAAAAACCGCAGCTGTTTCCTCATTAACCCCAATGATCCACAATGCGAGGGGTACCAAAGGTCAAACCTACGGTGTAACTAGAGCCTAGACGGGGCAAGGAGATCAACCGCTCGTCAAGATAAAAGAGACGCCGAGTGACAGGCAAGGCATAACAAGCTTGGATTCGTCCCAGTGCCTCGTGACCAGAAATGCTCCAGATACGCCTCGAAGATAATAGCATACGATAGAAAATTCCTATGCAACAAGTGCAACACTCTTCTCCAGCGTCTAGCATATCGACCACAGGGATCGATAGTTTGCCTCCATACGATCAATGCAGTTACAGGAATCAGAGTAGGAGTAGAAAGAAGTGTGATCGTAGGCGACCCTGTAAGGCGTGCATCAACCGAAAGTCAACCTACAGTTACAGAGCCAAGAATAGTCTGCTGACTAGACTCTACCGCGCACCCGACTCACCTCTCCCAATTGGCTTCTCCTCAATAAGCCCATTAAGAGAAGGAGAGTCGTCCGACGAAGAATACGTACGCTGCCGAAAGGGCAAGTTGAATTGTGACGGAGAGCAGCCCTGTTACCCATACGTCAAAGCACGACCCAGTCCCCGCGTTACTAATTGCAACAACCGACGCTCCGATGGGACATATGAATCATGGAAGATTCGTCCATTTGTTGAAAGCTCAGGGCGAGCCGAATCTCCGAGAGGACTACGAAAAGTACACTGGCCGGAGGAGGAAAGCTCACAATATGCGGGAAACATGCGATACTGAACAGCAGGATAGCGACGACATTAAAGCTGGACAGCCGGTGGTCGAAGGTAGCCGCAAAGGAGTTAAGTTCGGGCTGTCTGCATACTGTGACCACGCTCTACCGGCTCTCCGATTGAAGCCGAATAGCACGTCGCGTGCAAAATACCATGAGGCTAAGATAGAAGAGCTGAAATCTCACGAAGAGAAAGGCACGTGGAAGGTCGTTCCACTTAGGTAAGGAATTAAACCGGTTACCTCACAGTGGGTTACCACTAACAAATACGGACCTAACAGTAAGATCACCAGACACAAGGCCCGTTTGTTAGGCAGAGGTTTTCAGCAGGAAGAAGGCCTTGACTATGAGGAAACATTTGCGTCTGTGGTGAAGCCCGCCTCAACCAGTATCTTGCTCGCATTAGCGGCAATTTCTTATTGGTGTATCCACCAAGCGGATGTCAAAACAGCATTCTTGAACAGCACCTTAGACAAGCCAGTCTACATAAAACCCCGCGAGATGTACAGCTACCCAGTAGGTACTGCGTGCTTCTCATTAAGGCACTTTACGGACTGAAACAATCGCCTCGTGCATAGTACCAAAAACTCCGGGACACTCTGACTGGTTGGGGCTGGCGTATATCAGCCTACGACCCATGTGTTTTTATCAACGACAAATTCGGGCTCATCCTTGAAGTTTATGTGGACGACATAAATATTATGGGCAAAAACCTTCAGGCAATTTTTGATTTCAAAATTCAGTTCGCAAAGCAATTTTCAATTTCCGACGAGGGCAAACGCTCCTGGTATTTGGGCATACACATAGAGCAGAAGCCTAGGGAAATTCATATCCATCAAAAGCAATATATCGACCAAATTGTCAAAAATATGGATTCGGAGACGCTGCCCCGGCCAAACCTCCACTGGACAAGAATATCAAGCTCGCGAAACAAGACAACTACATCGCGGACACCAAATTCCGCAGAGAATATCAGTCGAAGGTCGGGTCGCTAAATTTTAGCGGCAATCAGACAAGGCCAGTCATTGCATTTGCTACCGGTTACGTAGCCCGGTACGCATCCAATCCAAACCAGACTCATATGGACGCCGTGGATCGCATCTTCGCCTACCTGAAAGGCGATCCAAGGAAAGGAATTGTCTACTCAGACAAATACGATCTTCAGCTGATGGGTTTTGTGGATAGCGACTTTGCCGGGTGTGAGGACTAGTGTAAGGTTGGAAAGAGAGGCTCATAACCAGTTGAAACCCTGGACTGAAGTACAAGTGTGATGATCATTCTCTAGCTAGGCGAGTACATGCAGATATTTGTAGTCACAGTAGCACCCTTCTGGCTAGAGTTATGGTGGCAGCCTAATAGGCTGCCACAATATATATACATCACATAATCTGGAATCCAACTGGCGAGGGGCCAGGGTAAATGATATCACACACACACACACACACAGGCAGTAAAGGGGTCCCTGGTTGGGAATCGACAACATTGAATTTTATTCATCTCGGCTACCTCAAGCAAAATCATTTATTAAACTGTCAACCGCATAGCTGCTGGTATATTATTAAACACCCGAGGCTCTTCAAATTGATCGTGGATTAATCTGAGAAGGAAGAACAGTTCTTGAGGTCCATGAGAATGATTATATTGTATGAACGACCACAATGTCCGAAGCCAAAACGTAATCACCACAATGCATTTACGTAGATTACTTTCATGCGCATTTAGTACTTAGCTTTACTTAGTCCTAGCTGCTAGCCTTGATGGCAAGCAGAGAGGTAGCGTTGTTTTATATAACAGTTGCTGGTTTCCTTTATACGTTGAGGGGGTGGCAAGGTCCACATACTTCGACACAGAGATTCGGCCCCAACAGACCTTTCGGATCAATTTCGCCTCACCCGGGACCTTATAGGAAACCCCCTCAAGATCTGGGTTAAATGGAGAAGCTCTAAAGTTATCCAAATAGAGTATAGCGCTTGTTTTGGGAACGAAAGCAACCTTGATTGTGGCCCGCATGATATGATCTATTATGATCTTTCAAAGATAATTGACCCGTCCAATGTCGAATATAGTGTTCGAGTTGAGCCTAGCATCTTTTGGTGTCCAAAGATCGAAGTGATAGTGTTACTTGGTAAAATCTATCACACTTATCACACTTAGACGCACTTTGAAGTGATACGGTCTAGATGACCGTCCTTCGTTCAACTTGGCCGAGCCCCCAGGCTATGCGGCCGCTAGCGGAGACAGTCCAATCGCCTATTAGTTGTTAAGCAAGCGAACATAATCTCGATTTAATTACTGTACTTCGGATACGGTGGTGAGGTGCCCTGCTCCGCTAACCGAGGACGAGGACGACAAGATCATTACCTAGCACGTAAAGACACGGTGCTACACGCATCTCCGATGGCGAAATAGACAAGTACCATTGACAAGTTTAGCAGGCGGGGTAAGATCGCCCACCGGTGTAGCAAGTGTCGTCGCGTTCAAGACGGGCATTACCTAGCACATGGTGCAATATCCGTCGGCCAGCTCACCCAGTGCGTTCGAACTGAGTGTGAGCGCAAGCTTACGCGACATTAGTGACTATTAGATAGATATGAACTCGGAGGTGAAATGACCATTTCTTCAGCCCTGGTTCAAGTCGCAGAACATATTTCAGGAGCCACCTCACCGAATCGGAGCTACGACAACTCCGACGTTGCGGACACCCATCAGTGAGAAGATTGACCCGAATCCCTCAACGTGCCGGGAACGAGGTAGATTCGCAGTGCATTGACTACCTCACGATGTTCTGCCACCATTGTCAGATGAAAGGCAAATCCCCAGGACGATTCAAATTCACTTTGAAAGATGACTATGAGTTCAACTACTCGGTTATCGTCGATATCCTGTACCTCAGGAAAGCCCGTTTTGCAGGTCCTCGTTTTGCAGGTCCCCGTTTTGCAGGTCATCGATGCAGCCACGTCATTTGGTGCTACAAGATTCCTAAGAGACATGTCTGCACGCAATGCTTGGGACACACTTCGTGCATGCTGGATCGATATCTACCAGGGACCCCCGGACTACGTTGTGCACGATGCGGGGAAGAACTTCACATCTACCGAGTTCAAGCAGCTTGCATCGTCGATGTCGATCAAAGTCAGGGAGGTCCCGGTGGAAGCTCACAATAGCGTTGGGAAGGTGGAACGATACCATGGACCACTACGCCGTGCCTACGAAATTCTCAGGGAAGAGCTTAAGGATGAGAATATTGATAGGGAGATGATCTTGCAGATGGCTGTGAAAGCTGTCAACGACTCAGCCGGACCAGATGGAATTGTCCCGACGTTGCTTGTCTTCGGGCCATACCCAAGAATGACCGAAATAGATCCACTCTCACCTTTGGTAGTCAAGAGAGCCGAGGCCATCCGTGCTGCGACTAAAGAGGTCCGTCCCCTACATGCGGAACGCCAGGTGAATGACGCCCTTGCTATGCGCAACGGCCTTCTTCCTGAATACGTATGGTGTTAGCAGAGGTGCTAATACCATACGTAGGCGGCGAGATGCTTGATTTCTTCGTACTCCACTGGCTTACTTACCTAAAGGCACTCCTAATGAGATTACTCGCAATCGGGTTGTGTATGACCTTCTTCAGCTATCGTTAACTACTGATGAGATCCTTCGTCTCTTACAAACGAGTTTCGTTTTGTAACTGAAACATTTACGTAGACATCATCCGCAAGCCTCTAATATTGGCTCCGTCGAGACATACCTCCCACTAGTGGAATCTCCATGCCAGATAGAAAAACATAACTAAGGTGCGTATTTTTAGATATTGTGACCTCCCTGGGCCTCAGTTTGCGCTTCGAAGGTTGCCGTATAATTGTTGTCATGAGAATGATAACTATTGGACAGTCGGGCCCAGCCCGGCTGACCATCATTATTCTCGTGAGGCCGAAAATGCCCACCTGAATGTTCTACAGGTATCGACCTTGCCTCTGGGGAAGTTGCAGCATGAACTCTCCGCAACGTGCGACTTAATAATTTGTAGATGATTGGGAGGTTTGCGCACATAATGCCACCCAGCATTTCATAGGCTGAAAGAAGTGCAAATGGAACTCCGTCATCTGGAAAGTCACATGAGCATGATTTCCGCATAGAGAATATATGGTTGAAGGCATAGAATGAGAGTACACTCACAAGTGATATCATTTGATTTCTGGATAAAGGCATATGTCAGTCGAGCGGCACTGATGCCGCATGTCCTAGATCATTTACATTTAGCTGAGATTGGCATGTCCAGGGAAAGTAGTTAGACGAACAGAATTCCAATCGAGAATAGAATACATAGGGCGACCTTGTTCCTCATAGTTGTGTGGAGTCGAATAATTACCGAAACCGGGAGTACAAACACCGCAAAATCGGTGACTAGGTTTGATATCGTTATATAGTATATCATGGCAGTTGCGTTGAGGCAGTTTTGGGGAAGGCGGGGATTCCAAAAAGACTGTAACGGCCGGCAGATCAAGCAGAGAGGAAGCTCGATTGTGATGAGCCACAAAACGATGAAGGTAGCAACTGCCACAACGATCTTCCGGAACGTTTTAGCTATGAAGATCCGATAGTACAGTGCGAGGATGCTTAGTTTGATGCCGGCGAGTGCAAAATTGTACAAGTGACTGGTAATATATTCACCCTGTTTCCTCGCCCCATCAGCTTATCAGTATATATTGAAGACGCAAGTTAAACTCTTCTCACCAGTAGCACGCTTTGTAAATCATCATATTTCACTGTCGAAATATGCCTCCCCAATCCATGAGGGACCTCTGCGTAGAGCAACACTCAGTCAACAAGAGTGATATACTAGGTAGTCGAGGGATAGGCCGCACCGAGAGCTAGTAACACTACACAGAGAGCAACCGCAACGACCTACCACTCGAATAGTCAGCCCTAATCTAGAGAATCATTATGAAAGTGACGGAGACGAAACAAACCGTGACAAAGATAATGATATAGTCATCCAGGAAGAACTTGTCTTCTGCAGGCCAGACGAGCTTCACGAATATTCGTGTTACCGTCGAGAGCAGTATCAAGCATATGGCCACAGCAAGACCCCAAATGGCTTCACTTACTCGAGGCTGGTTCGTCTCGTTTGCCGTCACCATATCTCTTCCCCAAGCGACCGAGTCTCGCAGCAGTGATAAGCAGAGGTTCCAGGTTTTGATGGCAAGGAACACACTGGTTATTTGGACAGGGATGCGATTGTGTGGAAGAACCCCAACCTTGGTGGGGGATATTGATGAACCTCTTCCAACTTCCCGCGATTAGGGCATTCTCAACAAAGTACACAAAAGTTGGTGATGATCATAGTCGTAGGTCTCACAGCTGGCCAGAATGCCACGGGTATACGCGACAAACGAACGACAAGGATCCAGTCCATGACGCTACGATGACAGTAGATTTTGAAAACGATTACCCATGGCACCTGCTGCCTTTTCAAGCGCAAGTGCCACACTCCGATCGCGTTAGTCTGAATTTGGCCAAGTAAGGGCCGCTTTCGGGGCGATTCGCGGTATGATTGGCTGTGGCACGCCCTGAAAACTTGGCGGCCTGGACTTGGCTCTCGATCCGTGCCCACCACTTCCGCTTTTCGGTGTGTCCACGCATTCCCGGTTCGGAATCCTGATCCCGCAGGACTGTTGACTCCTGTAGGTTGAGCTTTCTGCGGTGGCCGGCCGTACGGGAAATCGGATTTCCTCGCAATTATCGGGCTAATTTGAAGAATCAGGCTAAGATTAGGGCAGTTACGAATATTATTCGCAGAGAATTCGGAATGCGAATAATTTATTCGCAATTTTCTTTCAATAACCAGTAGCGAGTTATATATTTCCCTCTCCTTCCCATCTCTCTCTTATTAGGTTACGATTTGCATAGTAAAAGTGCCCTACAACAAGAGACACCACGAGCTTGGCTTGTCTGTATGATTCCGATAGCTCTCATTCGTCTAAATGCATACTAGTCTATACCGATTCAGCTCGCTTTGACATCTGTAAACAAACCCAGCTTAGCCGTATCGCGTCACAAAACGCATTTGATTTCAGCGTGCAACGAGTCATGGTGAAATACCGGAAATCTCCTCAGGTTCTCGAGGGAAGAGATCTGACGAGGGGACTTGATCCTGCTCACCATTTTCCCTCTCATTCATTTCATCCGCACCCTTTGCCATCTACCTCTTACAGTACATAACAAAGGCTGTAGAGGACTAAGCCTGGTAGGCCAATATTGATCTTGTTAGTGTTTTCTCATGGCTCCTGCTCACTACTATCACTACTATTAGTTCTTGGCGTCTGCTGGTTCATGCTAACGCAGATCTCCAGGGCTTCGATCGTGTGTCGATGTGAGTAACAGCGTCAATTATATCTCTCAGCCTCAAGAACTCGAACCATTCCAGAATATTTTGCAGGACGAAAATTCACGCGCATATCTAGTCTTATGTACGGACAGGTTTGAGGATAAGGGGTTTCTGCCTAAGGAGTGTTAGTGGGAACTGTCAGGCCGACAAAAACAACCAGCACGGCCGAGTATGCAGCCGTGCTCGACAGCACGTCCTTTAACCCATCAAGAAAAAAGGCCATCAGCAGGCCAAATATGGTCACGAATACTGTTGTTGAAACCAGGGCCGTGTAGAGCGTTCCGTGGAGGACTACCAGCCACATCGGCGCTATGAGGAAGATGCCGCCTACAGCGGCTACGCCTAGCCGTTGTCGAAAGCCTCTGATCCAGTCCCGCCGAAGGTTTCCGTCTCTTGTACCACTAATAGGCCTCGGGTGTCTGACGGACGACTCCCACTTGATGATGGGCTTTGCCCAGTGCAGCGGGTCTGCTTCATCCTCCTTGTCTCTCATAGCAACGTGGAGCATGAGGCGATCTATATATCGCTCGCCAGTTACGATGAACGGGTCTTGGGTCTGCAAGGTGTGTTTTCCCATGTAGTCATAATCTTGCAGAGCTTGGACTATTATGGAACCGCATCAGTAGATGTCAAGGAGCATATAGTTGCTTCAGGCTAATATTGACTTACCATACTGTCTCAGGTCTTCAGCCCACTCTGGAGGCTCCATAGCATCATATCTAAGGTCGATTGCATGCTGCATTAACTTGTGTTGGAGTTGTCGTAAGCGCAAGCGCTGTAGCTCAGCGAAGTTGATCCTGTAACTCTTCTCAGTTTCTTCCAGTTGTTTATGAATTGTACCGGTCACTCCTTGAGGTAATTGGCTGCTGAGTCTCAGTTGTGACTGTTCTGCGACAGCTTTGCTAGTATGACCTTTTCCAGGTCCTTTCTGACTGTTGTCTGAGTCATTATTGGTCCCATGCTTTTGGCCAAATAGTACGTTAAACCAAGAGCCGCCAGGTTTGGAGATCTTTGTGATGAGATTGGGACGATGATGGTCGATAATCCAAGAAGGGTCATGGAAGTCCAGAAGGTCGTGCGTAGCATGTCCTCCGTGATTGCCTTCGAGATCAGACTCCCGCTGAGCCCGATAGAACATAATGCACGGTTCCTTCCAGCGTTGGATTTGATAGCCTAACGAAGGTAGCTACAACACTCCAGAGTGATCACGTAGAAAGCAAGTACGTGCTTTTGGAAGAGGGAGCTGAAATTTAGGGTAGCATTTCCTCTCTGCGTGGGTAAGCCTCACACTATGCAGATGGTATGGGCCACGTCACTAATGCAGCAGCCTTTGCTCAAGAAGGGTCTCGAATGGGTACGAATGCGCCACGTCAGGGGTTTGTAAGCGACAGCAACGAGTGCAGGCAATGTCACTCACTCTTGGCCCGAGCCGTAGACAGGACATTAACAAAAGATTATTTATAAACAAGCCAGTAATCACATTCGGATAATGCAAAGGGTGAGCCTATTGGATGACTGACTGACTTGACCTCGTGACCGCAGCTTGGAGCCTCGCCGAATACATTAAGCCCCCTCCCCCGATCCCAGTTGCAAGGTTGCAGGCTCTTCTCAATTTTGACTCTACTGCCATCGAGCCGTCAGACGTTTTGGTCAAGTCAATCTCTCTAGCGACCGAGTCAATGGGGACCAAAATACTCAGGTTGAATGCCACCGTCTCTGATGGCCGCATTATTGTTTCTTTCTCATACCCGCCCTCGGCTGAACGCTATAAAAAATATCTGGAGAAACCTGAGAGCTCCTACGACGATAACCACAAATGGAGATCCACTATATCCGGGGGGCAGGTTTCCATGGACCTGCCCGCAGGCATAACCTTTGAGTTTCCCAGCGGATCTAAGGATGCCGTTCTGGCCTTTGCAGACGAGGCGAAAGCGACAATATGGGAAGAAAAGATGATATTGTGGGAAAAGAGTGCGAACCAGGAAGGGACAAAGCGAAGCATTTCACGATCGTTGACAGTTGAACGCCTTAATGAAAAACTGGGCTTGCTAAGAAACTCATCGGAGTTTTCCCACGTTTCTTTTGCCTGCTCCAATTATGGATATCAGCTCGGGCAAATTCATGGACATATGACTCTCCCCGCCGCCCCTTGGACGAAGTTCAAGGGGGGCAAAGATTAGATGATTTATCTCACAGAGATTAACTAAGGTTAATTGGGCTTTCGCGGGTCTCGCCAGACATATATAGTGTTGGCTGGCATGTGTAATGCTAGAAATCAAGATTTTATCTGTAAACAAAGGTCGTACGGCTCAAACTCGGGGAAGTGGTGAAGACAAGCTCTCACTCCCGCTTTCCGCCCGTTGGCATTCCGTTGAGCGGTCTTCCTGGACTAGCCTTTCAACACAAAGACCCTCCTAATGCTGGAGGTTGTTGCTAGAATCTGGAAATTAGGCATAGACACATAGCCATCTCGTCCATGTACATACAGATCAGGTTTTTCGAGCAGGTGATCGCAGTCCTTCTAGCATCGGTGGCGATATACTTATCTCCAATCAATACGATTAGGGGGATGACCGCTTCCGAACTGTCGCAAGTTCCTGCGAATATTTCCGATCGTCCTACATTCAGCTGCGTCAGCCATTTGAGATGGTTGGTAGTGATGGGCTCAGTATGTTATCATGAATGAACCGTAGCTTTGCAGGGGTAGTCTCGGTGTCATATTTTGCAGACACTCTTCAGCAATTCTCGAGGCGGTGGTGCTACTAAAAAGAGGACGCCTCAGCCTGACAAGTCGACGGGCATGTCGGCTGGTGTGGAGGGAGCAACAGAGGTCGGAGTTGTATAGGAGTTTCACATAGGATACAATTATATACTCCATTACGTCCATAATCGTTCTAGGTAAAGAATGGAGCTATTCTCAGAAACTTGTGATCGAGGACTTTGCCAAATATAGATTACGGTTTGTTATGATACGGGTTGACAAACCATCTGTGTGTGTGAATTGGGGAACCTGTTTTCGACTCCGACTGTATGAGAACGGCACTCGTAGTACACCCCGACCCCGGGGCTACTTTCACAGCCCCTACGGTACCTGAAAGGCGTAAGCGTATATCCCGAACCGGTATGGTATCCCCTCCTCTGTTAACTTGCACTTTTTAGGGTGGTTTCATTAGTGGAAGATTTCATCTAATATTATTGGTCGATATACTATTGGCTATAGGGGCCCACTAGCCACTACGCGTGATTTTATCCACGCGTACCCTATCATAACAATCCCCTATACTAATCCTCATACTAATCGGTTAATCAATTAATCAATCAATCTATCCATCTATCCATCTATCTATCAACATGGAAAGAACAACGAGTTTCCTAACACTCTCGTATTCCCCCATGTTATTCTGAGATTTTATCAATCTTTTTCCTTGACATACTGCTATGTACCCAAAGTTATAAATACTGCCTGTTTCCCTAGTTAAATGTCATAAGTTTGACACCATTTCCACTCACGAATAGAACTCAAAGCAATTCTGATAAAACTGTGTTGACCCTCCACTGTTCAACCTGTTCGCTGCCGACCCACCTCTATTGCACTTTCGTCTCTCTTCCATAATCGTGGTATTCGATCGACCTGTGTGCGCCTCTAAGCACACCCCAGGGTTTATGCACACGGCGTAAATCCGACACGTATTTTAGAGTGTAAGATATACTATATATAGCTAGATCGCTAGGTATTTATTCTATATAGATATATAGTCTGTAGGTTATATATAGGAAGTCTTAGAACAATAGAGAAATATCCTATCTACTAAGCGCTAATCACAGGATATATCGGATACCACCCTTTTGTAGGATAAAGTATATATATCGTGTTATAGGTCTAATTCAATAACTCGAGTTTAAGCACAGAAGCCGTTTTTCTATGTTACTTTCTCCTCCTACGTACTTTCGGCGGGGTTGCTAAATAGTATTAAAAATATATAGAGGGGCCTTAACTAAGCGCCTAGGTATTGCCTAACACACAAGAGACTATAGTTTTCCTTAGGGGAAAATCGTGGTCTTTTGTATATTCAAAAATTAAAACTGCCCTTTACACACTTTAGCTTTTTCTTGTTATCAGAGTATTCCTATAAGAGCTTACGTTTCCGATGCTTTTTACCTTTATCGCTCCCCCAAATAACAAGGTAATCACTCGCAATAGCTGCTATAAATCCAACCCGATCTAATTACTCTTCCTTAAAGAGCAAATTGATACGCCAAAAACAATACCGTCGCAAAACAAGTTTGATAAAAAAGGCATACGAATATAGTAAGATGTGTAACGCAGATATATGCGTGGGTATTCGTTTCCGGGAGACGGGTCAGGTACATATTTTGTCTGTAGATACTTCAGGATTTTGGACTTTCCTTACTTCACAATTAGTATGTAGCAGAGTCTTCCTCTAGGGAAAGAAAGCTAACTTGTTAGGGCTCCTATTACCCAACGCCAAGGTTAATTACAGACCGAGACCTATAGACAAAGGAAGGCACAACTGTCACTACTGCGGGATGAGGATTTCAAACCGCAAATACTGCGGGTCAGCCTATCCATATATATGTTATTAGTCTTCATTTTCCCCGTTATATTCCATAAAATGTCTTGAAGATGGTTGGTGCGTACTTTGATCCCATATTCGCAATGCTAGACCCACGGTGACTCGAGTGCCTTCCTCCGCCCGGCCACTTTTCGGCTCGGTTTTCCCCATTGTAGTTGAGATGGGGCGTTTTTGCCCTTGATCCGCAACCTCACACGTCAATCGGTTAGTCGATCGTCGAACCTCGGCGCCTCCAGCTGCTTTCACATTTCGCTTCTGTACCATCGCGGCTGTACAGGGGCTTTTAATGGGTGCAAGGCTCCGGCGAGGGTGTTGGCAGCCTTGGATGATGATGTTCGGGCCATTTTAGGACCGAGAATGACCGAGATGTTGCTTCGATGATTAGTGACGCTATTACAGGAAGTGGCTCCTATGATGCGTGATCAACGGAACGCAACCTGTCGCGTGAGGAAGGCATCTCTGCTGAACTCAGACGATCTGAACGATTGACAAAAAGAGATAGCTTGACGACGATGTTCAAAATCCAGAGAGGCAGCTTTCCTTGTGGTAGCTTACAGAAGGGGGAAAAGTGTGGTCGGCCCTACGATCTCGCCGATTCAGAGAAGCAGCTTTCCTTGTGATGGATTGGCAAGAGGCCCTGCCCACGAAGGGTTCTCTCAAATCTTTCGCGGCACGCCACGGTTTCCCTCTTACTTTACTAAAGTAGCGTCTAGAGACGTTATACAGTACAAAACTCGGCCTCACACGGCTGTTGTCAAGGTACGTACATCTCAGTTTCTGTTAAAACACGATTACCAGTCGCCAGTATCCGCCTCCTAGCGCTCTTTACCGTGGGCCACATCATGGTATCTGTAAATGCATGGTTACCATGCGCCAGAGTCCGCCTCCTGACTCTTTTCGCCGTGGGCCACATCACGGTGTCTTGGAATGAGGTAGGATGGTCAGCAGATCTCTAATCTCTAATAAACTAAGTAGGTGGTCGCCTGTGGTTCTAAATACTCACCTTGGACAGCCGCTTTGATATGGAGAAACTAATCGAAATTCTATTCTTATCCGTGCGCCACTCACTATTTCTAGAAAGCGTGTATTCTACGCGGCCACACCTCTCACCCGGCTTCTACTTCCGCGGCTTCACGATTTAGCTCTTTAGAAAAAGAAAAATAACGGGCACATCGAGTACACGCTCTTAATAAATCATAAGCAGGCGGGAGAAGAAAGCAGAAGTATTACAGCTGTATTCTCTATCGAGGAAGTTCACTTGAGCTCTATCAAGGGAGATGTTTCAACGTATAATAGGGGTCACCCAAGAAGCACGGAGAGGGACGCTATACTTAGAAAGTGGAGCGGTACTCTACATTCGCGATCTAGGGCCACTAACTCTATACCACCTCAATCCTCAAAAGTACGAGTCATCGGTTAATAAGATACGCCGCTCAGACACCATCAGCACTCACGGGTCCCGCAGGATGGCCTCGGCCAGCCAACCAAGCCCTCAGCAAAAATGACTGCACAGCAATATCCCCCAAATGTTGTGCAAGATCAACCGGCGTGTTCCCTTCATAGTCCATCATCGTCATATCGGCGCCCTTCTCAAGTAGCTTCCTCACTTTGACAAGTCGATTGTCTTTTGCTTCCACAACATAATGCAATGGTGTGCGTCCCCAGCCGTCCCGCACATTCAGATTGTAACCATCCACTACGAAACGCTCCAACCAGAGATGCCATGGGCCTTGTGCGTGGTATTTCCATGTCATAAGTTCCTTGAGCATCGTCACTTTTAATGGCTCTTCCAGTGACTCGTCTCGCTCTGGTATCCCCTGGGGCAGTGACTTGCGGAAGAAATGGTATATCTTGTCGCGTTCCGAGTCAATGCTAGGATCGAGCGAGTTGATGTCTACACTAGTCAGTCAGCCCACATGCATCACTGTTTGACCCTCGCCTCGCCAACAAGGCTTGGGGAGAGACTGGGAATGGCCTTGTTCCAGTACCCAACACATCCGGAATATTCTCCGTCTGCGCAACGGACACGCACGACAGAAACTCCTTCGCATACGCCGTGGCAACGGCAGCTGCATAAGCCTGCCAGTCATTGTTTTTATGCGAATCCGCATAATCGCTAATCCCCCGAACTACCAAACATGGAAACCCATCCATCAATCCGGCCGCCTCCATTTCAAAACTCAGCACATCTTGCCCAAGCTGCCCTGAAAGCCGGTCGCGCACAGCAGCCGACTTAACCACCTGATTCCCAGATGCAATCAGTCCGTAGTGGACGACTGGGTCTGTGCTGTCCCGTTGTGGTCTGGCAACCACCCTACTTCGATCACAGCCTCGACATGACCGTGCGCCGGCCCCAGCGTCGACATGATGGTCGTACAGAGACTCGAACAACAAGTCCTCCTTGCTGGCTGGGTACGCGAATTGCGTCATGCCGGGATACCTCTGCAGCATGCCCCCCAAAAACTCCGGAATACGACTAATTCCCATAAGGTGATTCGACTGGAGCTCCGAGACAGCCGTGAGCACCACATTAGGCGGCTTATTGAGCACACCCATGCGCAGAAACATCCCATCCCTCACAGCCTTGCCGTAGTCATACTGCACGACGCCCCCGAATTTGCCCTGCGGGTTACTCACGACGACATCGCCCAGTCTGACGTCGTTTTCTGGGGAGGGGACGCCGCCGCCAATGCCCACCATTAATCCGAAGCGGATGCGCGAGAAAGTCGAGAGCATCTGAGTTGCGACTGTTGCTGCAGAGGTTGTGCCAGATATGCCGGAGGGGAGACAGGCGATGACGACGTTGTGGTGAAAGATCTCGCCTAGGACGTAGGTGTTGTGGTCTTGCGGGAGTTGCGGTAGTTTAGGGTGGGTTTTGTCGAGCATGGCTTTTGCGCATGCCATTTCGAGGGGGAGGGCATTAATCCAGCCGATTGTGTAGTCATTGCGTGTGAGAGTCATTTTGCCCCTCTACTCTTGATGAAGTTGATGGTAGGGAAGCAGCTGTGAGGGTGAAGCGCTAAAGCGCCCGCTTTATCTGGGCGCGTAGCTACGGCGTACTATAGGGGCAGCTTCCCAAGTCCCCCAAAACCCTTGGCTAGCAATTTTCAAACTGCCAGAATCTCGATTTCTGCCCTTCTTTGTCCCACACAATCTACCATAAAATCTACCGTACTGCAAAGGCTGGTCTAGGAAAAACTCTGAACAAAAGGCTAAAGAGCAGAGCGTGGAATTGCGAGAGACATATCTTCACATCTCCAACTTTGAGTCGTACCACCTTGTCTATGTTGATGAATCTGGATGTAATAAGCGGATCGGGTTCCGACGGACAGGCTGGTTACCACTCGGTGTACTCGGCACCAAACAAGTGGCATAGTTCTACCGCGACGAGAGATATCAAATTTTACCTGCGTATTCTCAAGATGACATCGTGCTGTCTCGCGTCTTTCGCGGCTCCACGGATGCCTCTGTGTTTGAGGACCTTTGTCGACGAGCTTCTTCACCATTGTGGAAGATGGCCGGAGCCGAAGTCTGTCCTGATCATGGATAATGCATCATTCCACCACTCCGGGCGGATTTCACAGATGTGCGCTGATGCGGGAGTGAAATTTGTCTACTTTGATACCATGAAATTTGTGAGCAGTTTGGTGGGCGGTAGAGCCTTGGCACGGGCGCGGTGTGATGAGTGGGTCTCAAGGGGTGTGGGGACTTTTTGCGTAGGCACTGTACAAACCCGCAACGCACAGACCCACGATGATCTGGCTCAGCCAACGCAAAAACGGAGGAACACTACCCGTGGCACTGACCACCCAATCCCGGTAGAAAGTCACCCCATTTCCTTCTAATCTACTCTCTTCGCCAGCCACCACCATGGCTAATTCTTATTCTGAAGAGGAAGACCGCATTATTAGTGCCTCAGAAGCCTATAGAAGTAAAAAAAAAAAAATAAGAAAACTTTTGGTATTAGCGCCCCGATCCTGTCATGCTAGCACCTATCGTGTTCCTTGCTGCAGAAGCCACAGTCTCTTACGAAGTCGAGTAATGTGCAACCACACATCTAGGCCCGGAACACATAATTGGGTGCTGACCTGTACATTGCGGGCCTCTGCCGTGCTTCTTGCATGGATCCCATTAATGGTGAACTGCTACCCAATGAAGGTTCGCATGAGGCGAAACAAGCCCACAGCAACATCACTTTTTATTGTTTGGTCTCCTGGGTTCCTCGATTGCCTTCAAAACCTCATTTCTTAAGTTATCCCGGCCAATCTTAATACCACTCCGGTTATTGTAATCATTGTGATCATTAACGAAAGCAGCCAAGAAGCACTGCAGCTGCACCTCGAGTCCATCCAAGCTGGCCATAACCAGTGCATGGATCCCATCTCGCAGATCGTCGTTTTCGAACTCAAGAGGGCTTCGCTCACTAAATGGACGGCGAATCGGACTGGTGTGGGCGAAGGGGGGGCAGGGGAAGTATAAGGAGAGATTGGACAGGAAGGAGAAGGCTGCGGAGGCGGGTTAACTATGGGGAGCGAGAGTGTTCTTTCCTTGGTTCTGGTGGGAGTGGTTTGTGCTAATGGAATCTAACTGGTGACTCCGTTACCGGGAATACCTATGGCGAGAATAACGGTCGACTGAGGAAGTTGAGGTGCAAGTATATGGAGTAGATTATGGACACCTCGCGTGACGGTGCACTGGATGGGAGTAGGGTAATTATAAGATAAGGTACGAAGAAAGTGAACTGAGATGAAGGTAGTGGTAGTTCACAAGTCCGCATGTTTGATAAGCCCAGAATGTAATAGTTGAATTCAAGTCTCGACGATTCCATCGCCGATAGGTTAAGAGTATAACCCGAAGAGTGTAACTGCCTAGGCTTTGCAATGACCACCAGAGTGCATAGTGTGAGGACCGTGGCCATGGCTATGTTCTAGGGGTGATTTGGTGGTCTTCGCCTCCGCGATGGTGCCGGTAGTCGTAGAAACGATGGAATCCGTGGAGCTGTTCACAGTGGGAGAAGTTGACGGTGTTGTTCTCGAAATAGCGGTAACAGAGGGCGATGGTATAACGGCCGAAGTTGAAGACACGGGGCTACTGGATGCGAGCACCTGAGACGTTGCTGTCATGCCCTGCTTCAAGACCTCAAGGTCCGACTCCTCCAAGCGGTAGAGCAGCGTTCCCCAACCGACACCGTCATAATGACCCGAGCCTTCACCATACCCTATGCCCTTCTCATAACCGCCGAAATACTCCAGGGTGTTGTTGAGGTATGCCTTAGTCCACGGAGCTTCGAGCTCCTTAATCTGTACGTAGTGCGCGTACATAAGTTCCCAGGTCGGGCGGGTTGCACCGCGGCTGGCAGAGCTGATATCGGTATAGCTCACTATGCCGTTGGTGTAGGGTTCGAAAGGGACGTCGTGTCCAAGGTTGTATCGAGCAAAGTACTCCGCGCTAGATGAGATATGCAGTTAGTTTACTGATCAGACCGCGGACAAAAAGGTCGCATACCCGCGAAGTATCAAACTATCATTAAGAGCGAAAAGATCTTCCCCCTGATTCCACGCCTGCTGTCCAATGGCCGCGAGAAGCTGCTGATCCAGCGCAGAGTGTCCCTGATCGCGACCTGATTCCTGACCCTGGCCCAGCAGCGTTCCAGTCCCTGGTTCATCAACAAGATTGCTAATGGCATTGCCGATAGCACCATTCCCATCCCCATTCTTGAAATAATCAATCGCAAAGTCCCAGGCGGTCTGGTTCTCCGTCATGACACTAATCGCCTGGACGGACGCGACCTGCGCGAGTTCCCAGTTGGCAAAGAAATGACGCACGTTATGCTCAGACCCCTCTTCATGGTTGAGGAACCGGAAATTCAACGGAAGGATGACGTTAACGGCCATATCAACAAAGGCATCCCAGCCATTCTGCACAAAGGGCGCGTAATCGCGTAGCAGCTCAGCTGCATTCGCGAGCTCGTACCCCTGCAGGCCCGCGGAGAGGTAACGGTCATCCCCACCTGAGAATGTAGTCAGGGTGTTGCCCCAGGCTGTTAGAATCGCGGAGGCGGCTTTTGCATATTCTTCTTCCCGAGTCACGCGCCAGCGTAGAGCCAGGTTGAAGGCAGCCGCAGCATCGTGCCAGAGGACGTCGCCATTTGTGGACCGATCGATGTCGGACACGGCATTCGGCGAGTAGGAGCTGCTGGAGAAGGAGAGGGATTCGAAGTATGCCCAGGAGCTTACCCAGGGCTCTTTCTGCGCCGCGAGTTTGGCTTGGACGCGGGCGATGTCCGAGTCTGTGACCAGCAGACCTGGGTGGGTCCAGGCAGAGGCATGCAAGCTCAAGGCCAAAACTGAGCAAATGAAAGGAAGGCGCATGATTAATGAGCGACTAAGTGAGAAAAGACCGATCAACGGTTGAGAGATTGTCAGTTTGCACAACAAACAGGAGCAGGGTCGTAGGGTTGCCAAATAATCGAACTAGAAGAGCTATCCCATGACCCCAGTTTGGTATAAAAACATCGCCTGTCCGACATATCTCCGGGGGAAATTGCAGGGTTGTTGCGAAATCACAGCAAAAGGGGTGGAAAAACATAATAGAAACAGCGTCCATACTCGGATAATTCGGCCAATAAATAACCGACAGACCTGCCATGCCGTGTTTCACCATCTGCGGCGAATGATATCCGTGAAAAACGGCAAAATCTCGCTTTTGGTCAATCTATTTCCTGCCATGTCCTACTTTTACCATATTCCACATGCCAGCTATATTCGAATCGCCTAATGCATAATACTACATTACATATTTATTAGAACTAAAGTAGAATTAAGACCAGAGAAGAATCCCTTGCGTGCTGGAAATTCCACTATCTTCCGAATTTGCGTGCTCTTATACGAAGTGAAGCAAGCCAATTTTTTCCGGAGCGTGCACGGACATCCGGGTTTATTACTTCCCTTACTGTCACTACGTACGTTCGTTTCAACTCCATGCAGTGGCCGTTCATTAATATTTGGAACACAGTACTCCGTTCTGAGTACTTCCGCCCACTGGCAGAAGGATAGGTGGGGCAGATAGTTACCATGTTCCAAATACTAATGAACACTGACTGTACTCCGTACACCGTGCGGGCCGTGTCACCAGTGCCCTGAAACAAAGCAACGGAGGAAAGGGCCAAACCGTGGGGCCACACATCGCTCTCATTGGCGCGGGTACTTGGCAATGCATGTAATGCTTACCTACCCATCATGTATTTGCCTTTGCCCTGACGCGAGGAACGAAGTAAAGGGGGTTATTACCCTGGGCTGCGGCATTCCTTCCATTCCTTCGCTGGCTCCCAACTGCCAGATTCTCTCAGATCTGGACGGTGATTGGTGCGTTCTCTTGCCAAGAAATCCTCCTTATTCGCTACTGCTAATTATAATCTCACGTGTCACTATCTCCTTTCGCTCGTTTTAGCGCTACAGCGTGTAGAGTGGCGTCACCAGTATATTACAACTTGTAATCTTGAGGTATTTGCGCGGGTAAAAAGAAGGGGGGATTTCGACGCCCTATGAGGGGCCGCCCAAGCGTGGGCGAAGCCCCAGCGAACCTCCACCGAAAGCTTGGCGGCTTACCAGTGTCCTGGTAGCCTGAGGCACCGGCATTTGTGGATAACCTTATATCAGGTATATCGTAACAGTACCAGACATACTCCGTACACTCCAGGGTTTCAAACCTATGGAACCCCCGGTACGTGTGGGTCCATGTTCCACAGCAGCGGGTTCCACCTTTTAGATGAGTCAGCACCCGTAGCGCCGACTTTATTTCTTCCAGGACCGGGCTTGTGCTTGTGGGCCTGGTGGAACCTTCCTGCTTTTGCGCCTTCTTTCTTTTCTTTCTTTACTTCTCATCGTCTCTCGGGTCCCTTGACGACTCAAACTACTCTCTCTTCATCCCCTACCCTGAGCACTCAGGAAAACAAAAACACCTTTCTTTGACATTTTCTGCTTCGCTCAACTTTCCTTTTTTAAACACTATCCTACAACATCAGCAATCATCACGGTTCTTGCTGAGAGATCCTGGCAAGAGATCTGGTTTCGCTCTGTGCTGAATCTCCATGTTCCTACTTGCTCGGACATCGCTACGTAATCGCCTACTTCGCTTCGCCTCACCCAAGTCAAGGATGTGGGTCCTACTAGACGGTCACTAGAGGAAGAAGCCGGAGACCAGCCCGAGGCCGCAGCCGAAACCCTCACCAAGCAACCCCAAACTGAGCCAGGCATTCATCTTTAGTCGGCCAGAAAGTCTCACCATGCTGCTCTGGAGAAACTACCCCCGGAGCTCCGCCTTCAGATACTGTCCAAACTAAATTCCAAGAGCTTGAGAACCTTCGTTCTTACCTCGCGTGTGTACTATGAGCAGTTCTCTATGGACCGCAAGTCACTACTCTTCAATTCTTTCATGCAGGATCTGGGTGGTGCGGCTCATGATGCTCAGATGGCCTATCATTCCTGTACCAAAGACTACCTTCATGCGCGCAGCAAGGAATCCGTGGCCCAGTTTCTACGGTCATATCTTAAGTACCGTTCCTCAACTCCGTGGTCAAGTCCCCATGGGATGTCCTCCGATGGTACAACTTCCGATAATCGGCGTCCAAGCACGATATTCACCCTGGACGACGTCCATTCTATGATCAAATTTCACAACTCTGTTGTTGAACCTCTTGCGCGGCATTTTGCCAACTGGGCATTGCAAAACTTCTCGGAGTTCCCTGGGACTCATGCCTGCTTTGACCCTCTCACTCACACCGAGCAATCCCATATTTCCGGGCCCTCTACCGGTTTCAAATTTGTGCCAACCTATTTGGCTTCCGTCGGGGAATTGATGGGGAGTGGGGGGATTCTCCTGACTTCAACGGTATTTACATCCTCATATCACTCGAGACAATGTTTGAGCCATGGGAGATTGAGGAGCTTACATGCATCACTCTATTTTTTGAAAGCCGCTACAAAGAGATTTTTCGAAGCGTTCGATCGGGCCTTGACAAGGACAGCCCCGGGAACGAGCGATCAGACACATCATATGACCCATTTGACTACGAAGACGACTGTATGTATGACTCCATTGCTTTGCATACCCGGCTAACTTCTGGATTTAGTGGAAGAGTACACGAGTGGGGTTCTTTCATAGGGTCTAAATGGGTTGAACACCCTCTTAGTCCAGTCGCGGCTGTACGCGACATCTCAATTTACCGCATGCCCGGGTTTTTCTTAGGGACCGGGTCGTCTGATGCCTTTGGCCTAGATACTCTCGATTACGGAATGGTCGATGGATGTGAAGAGTGGCTGTTCAAAGAACATCGGCGTGACCCATTGCCCTTCCGGGGTGACCGGACAATGGAACCGAACGGCATGTATCCACCCGTCGCATGGACCCTCCTATGGTTGGAAACTTACTGCAACCGAGTCGGAGTCTAGGTTTCAGAGGACATACAGCGCTAGGGTTATGTCTTCTGGGACTGGCGTAGAATCACGTGCATGGGTGCGGAGAAGGTGCTTGAGAAACAATGGAAGAGGCGTGACGACCAGGACGACCCGAGAAGAAACCTGGATTCGGAGGGACATGTGATTCCTGGGACCGATGCTGACTGCTGTGCCCTTGGGATTTCTCCTGTAAAGAAGCCTAAGTCTGGGTTCTTGGCATGAACACACATTGAATTATTCCAGACGATCCCCAGCCCTTCCACGACCTCCGTGGAGATCCGTGAGGTCGCGAGACAAAATGGGTCCGAGTGTTGGGAGCCGTTTCCCACAGAATGCATGGACCATTCACTCCCTTCATGCTCTAGTTAAATTTCTTATCTTCCAGTTCTTAAATGTACAAGTATCCTCCGGTATCTTTCTATGGAGTAGTCTCCTATTAGAACCCGTAGACAAGTATAAGGACCCCGAATGACATCAGCCCCCCGCCCCCACCCAATCAACATCCCACTTCCACCCATCGAAATAAACTCCCCGCTTCACTCTTCCAACCCAACCCAACCCAAACCCAACACCGACAACAATTCCCCCTTCACGAAAACACCACACACAAGATGTCCTGGTTCCAAAAGAACTTCACCCTCCCCTCCCGCAGCCGCGGCTCCTACCTAATCACCGACACCGTCCTCTCCGAACTCCCCGAGATCCGCGACTACAAGGTCGGCATGTTGAACCTGTTCGTGCAACATACGAGCTGTGCGCTATCGCTGAATGAGAATTGGGATGATGATGTGCGGGCTGATATGAGTGATGCGCTTGATCGCATTGCGCCGTATGATCGGAAGGGAAATTTGTATCGTCATTCTGCGGAGGGGGAGGATGATATGCCGGTGAGTTCCTTTTTTGGATATCTTGTTTTGGTGGTTGGAGTGGATTGATGATGACTGCTGCTATTGTGAGGAGCTTTTGGGAACGAGATGCTAATTCTTTGGTTTCTGTTAGGCTCATATCAAGTCTGCACTTATTGGTGCTTCGGTGAATATTCCCATCTCCAATGGTCGTTTGGCGACTGGGACCTGGCAAGGAATCTGGTACCTCGAGTTCCGGACCAGTCGACACACGCGCAAGGTTGTTGCGACCATCCAGGGTGAAAAGGAGTGACTCGGTGATGAAGCGAGAGAGCATTTATAACGAAGGAGATGCGGTTGAAGATGCGATTGAGGGTATATTTCTTTTTTCTTGGGTTACGGACATACAAAGGCCAACTGGGTTCATATATGGCGGCGCTGGTAAGAACACAGCCACACGTATCATTGCCAACCACAACGGCAGAACCACTACCCAATTGGACTCGGGGAGATGGTTCAAGTAGATAGGTAGAGTCATCCCACAGGCTCGACACAACACAAAACACTTAGAACCCTTCACTTCACCACGCAGCGGGCGAACGACAGATCCATTGATCGATATTTCTGTACACGGCCTCGGGCCCAAAAACCAAAATAACATACGCAAAGGGGAAGATCAACGCCGACAAAAGGAATCTGATGCTAGGTCTTGTCTACCGCTGCTCTAGAGCACCATCCGTGACGCGCTGGCTCTCGTTCACCTCGGCGGGGTCATTGGTGGGCTCGAGGGGGTAGCTGGTGGCGGGGAGGGACTCGAGGTAGGTGCGGTGCTGCTCGTGGGCCTGTAAATAGAAGATGTTAGTTAATTGGGCAGAGTAGGTGTATCTTGCAGGAGGGGGTGCGTACGAAGGGAACACCGCAGTATCCGCAGGTCGCGATCTCGGCCTTGTCGGTGTTGATGAAGACCTTAGGGTGGCCGAGGGGACCACCGCCACCGTCACAGCTGACGACTCGGGACTTTGTCCAGCGGACGGGCTGCTTGTGAATGAGCTCAATGGCAGCCATTGGGCGGGGCTAGATGATCAATTGGTTAGTTTCTTGATGTTTCTGTCCCCCGCAGCTCGGACAAAGGATTCCTAGCTCGGCACTTCACAGGATCAACCCACCTGAACCTCCATGATGGTCTGCTCGAAGCGAGGGCCAACCATGGCCTGCTCGCGAGGCTGCTGGCTAGCAGCCCAGGTAGTAGCACGGTTGGGCGCTTGGAGGCTGCGAATGCGCTCCGCCTTGGCGGGGGACTCCTCCATGGAACCATCCCAGGGGGCATGACGATCGGTCAATCCGACATTGGTCGCAGAGACATTGGGCTTAACCGCGGGCGGGTTCGGGTCATTGGCCTGGATGCGGTTCTCGGAAAGCCGGGGCACGGTGGAGGAGTAGGCGCGGACGGCGAGAGGGCGGAACGAGGCCAGGACCGTGAGGCGACGACTGCAGGACATCATGGTGGGCGAATTGAGTCCTGTCGAAGAGGCGGGGAGTCGCGGTGGGGGAGGACAGACGTGGATGAGGTTCGAAGGTCGCAGGTTCCCTAAGGAACTGAATAATCCGCGAGGTGTGGTTTGGTGGATTCTCACCGCCTCCCATTTGCGGGTTGGCCCGCGCAGCTGGTCGGTTTTTCTGCCGTTGGAGTTTCTGGATTGACGACTTTAGAATATTTAGAGACTTTTGCGCTCGACTTGAGCTTGATTATATTTCATACGCCCATCATGTCGGAGTCTTCTCCCAAGGCTGCGAAGGCCGATAAGAGCATGTCTTCCCGTCTGTTGACCATGAAGGTATGTTTATCACAAATGTATTAGCGCTGCGACTTCAAGCTAACTTCTTTACAGTTCATGCAGCGCGCTGCTGCTTCTGCTGCGACGAAAGAACCACAGAGCCCAGATGCCGAGGACGGCAAGCGCACACCGAAGAGAGTCAGGCTTTCTACCGAACCAAATAGTCCCAGTACTCCTCAATCCGATCTGGAAGCTATTGCCGCAGCCCTGGCGGCGGAAGAAGACAAGCGACGAGAGGCTGTTGCGCGGCAAGCAGCTGAAGCTGGAGAGTCAGAATGGGTGTTGGATGTCCCCGCTACAAACTACACTCCACAGCCAATCGTTCTTACAGCCGACTCGCTGGATGCTGAGGGTGATGTCCCGCAGGGTGGTCGTCGCGCATACGGAAACTTTATGCGCAAGAAGCCCGTTGTGAGTTCTTTTCCGGAAGAGTATATACGAACATCTCCCGCTAATTCTTACAAGGTGCCTGTCGTTGAGACAAAACCCGGCGAGAAGAACACCGACGGAGGTGACTTTGATGAAGAGGAGGAGGAACAGAAGATCCCGGCCCACATCGCAGCCGACCCCGAGCGCGTTAAGGCCTGGATGGCGGAAGCCCGAGAGAAGGCATTGGCCAGGGACGCCTATCGCAAGGCCCAACGTGACAAGATAGAGAGGAAACGACTCAACAACATCACCAGTATTTCTGGTGGAGGCCAAGCTGGATCTCCGAGAATGGGAGCTCCATCTCATTCATTGAAAAAGAAGAAGCGCAAGTTCTAAGCGGTTGTCTTTTGGATCACCTGCTATCTGCGTTTTGGTACTGCAGAGATCGTGGGTGGTCTACTCATCTCAATATTGGCGTTTCATCTGGAGCATGGGTTGGCGTTGGAGTACTTGGACAGGGCAATTTGAAGCTGTCAATGCATATGCGAGCACAAAATTATGATTTCATTTTGATCAATACTAGGGGAAATTCGACCATAAAAGCTGTATGATGTTCTATAACAATAGAGAAACTCAATTCTAGTCAATCCATTTCAAACAATAATCACAAAAGGTATATCTCTCATCCATCCCAATCACAACTTCGCCTTCTCCTCCCTCTTCCTCTTCTCCCACCCCTTCTGCGTCGCAAAATTCACCACCAAATTCCACGCCGCAACCCCCATCCCCACCGGCGGCGCAATCAACAACGTCCAAGCCCACCACCTCGGACTCGACGCCTCAATACTCGCCATCGCCCCCTTTACAGCAGCCTCCAACTGCACCTTATCCGCATCATTCCAAACCACCACACCGCGCGAAGTCGCCGTACCACGGAACTCCGCCTGCGCCGCTTTAGTCCGTACATCACCCTGGCTGCGGACTCGGTTCTCCGCATCCTCGGCTGTAAGGTGGGCGTCTCGCGCGCGGAGACGGGCCATCTGTACGGCTGGATCTTGGACGCCGACGACTATCACCGTGCCGCAGATGAGATCCATACCGCTTTCGAAGAGCAAAGGCACGTCGAGGACGATCGCCCATTGGCCGCGGATGTAATAGTAGATGAGTGATTTGTAGACTTCCCACCGCACGGCGGGGTGGATGATTCTGTTCAGTACCTGGCGATCGCGTTTGCGTTCCTCGGTATCACCGAAGACGCGGCGACCCAGGGCGGGTCGGTTTAGCGGTTTGCCATGTGGGGAGGGGTTGGGTGTGTCTTCGAGGAGGAGATCGGGTGTGCTGGGGCCGAAGTAGTTGACGATGGCTTTGTAGCCGGCTGTGCCTGGTTCGACGACTTTGCGGGCGAGAATGTCCGCGTCGATTATGGGGAGGGAGTAGGGTGGGGAAGAGAGGATGGTTGAGACGGTGGATTTGCCCGTGGCTATGGAGCCGGTGAGGCCGATGATGAGCATTTTGGTTGTGTTTCTGCGTAGACGGGTGCAGTCGAGGTGGGTATAGGTGTATCTCCTTGCTGGAGAGTGGAAGGGGGAAGAAGTGAAGTTTTGGCGATGACGCTGGTGGAATTGCGGGGAGATCCACTTTGACTACCTCGGCCCGTTCTGGAGAATGATGAACCAACTAACAGGATCTTCGTTGAACATAAACAAAGCATAGGCATTACTAGCTTGATATTAAGCTTCAAGGTCTGACTATATACGGTACTCGTACAAGTAAATCGCTTTCAAATATGCGAAATGGTTTTCCAGATCTTGCTTCTCTGGATTGGTGCAGCTCCCTGGTCTCGGCCGTTCCTGTATTCCAAGCTCGAATTGCAAGTCAGTCGCAGAGCATCGAGAGCAACGCATACTGAGTCTTGCCAGGCTATAGAATGGAGTTAGACAGCTCTATGGCCAAGGGTGCAGGTTCATGGAGAGCCGGCTCTTGCGGGCTTTTGTTCGGGTCATTAGTGCTTTGCACCATTTTCTTCTCTTCCGAGAATCCTTCACATGGTCATCATGGTATCGTCACTCTCAGGATTCGGGTAGGCCATGAGTGGGGTCCTGGGGTTGACCGTTCCACCCAAGATACGGCCAGCCCTTTGGTAGCGGCGAGTATGGGGGCAGAACGTAACGATCATCGCAGGCATTCGGTCCAGGGCAGTTCAAATTGCACAAGCCAAAGACATTGCAGTAGCATTCCTGGGCATTCGGACAATGGACTGGCTCCTTGCCAAAGATCACTGCGAGGGTAGATGTTAGTGGATGAGCCCATTTAGAGGAAGATAAGCAGTTGTACATACTATGCCAGGAGTACTCCATGATCCGCCCACTCATCTCGTCCTTCAATTCCGTTTCAGTAAGCCACTTGCGGTAGAACTCATAATCACTCTTGGGTCGCATCAATACTCGGTCACGAGTCACACCGAACTGGGCGCAACATGATACGCCAACTTCCTCGGGGACTGGTGTATCGGGGAATAGCTGCACGAAGGCATGTTTGAAGTACTCGCCCGCGTGTACGTCTTCACGGTGGATGTCACTAAGAGGGTGAATCTCCACCGGGCAGCCAAGGGTCCAGACACATCGTAGATTCACATATCCTTCTTTTTGGAGGTAAGAGGTTTGGAAGTTGCGCAGCATGGGGACACCGTCGTAGTAGGGGTCGTCGTTGTGCCATTGGTAGCGCGTAGAGTGGATAAAAAGCATTATATCGGGGAGGTTTTCGTAATTGTCAATGATGTATCTGCAAGGAAAGCGAAAGACTATGTTAGCAAGCTTGACATTCAAAACACAACAGCTTGTCCGAATCGGGTTCGAGCTCGAGACTCACGTCAAATACACCATCGACTCGCGCCCCTTGTTGCGCGCAACGGTCAACGGAGCATTCTTATCGTCCACCACGTAGATACTCCGGGACCAATCTTGGAAATACTCGGCCAGCCAGGAGGTATCGTCACTCTTCATGCTGGCCACGATCATATCCTTGTGTCGCCGGACCACAGGACGAGCCAGCTCGCCTGCAGCTTTGGGTGATGTGACTGATTCGGGTTTATGCGCATATTTGTCGGGTTGGTCATGATATGTGGAATGGGAAGATTCATTGCCGGCGAAAAAGATAAAGTAAATGGCGAGGACGATGCCGATCGTGAGGAAGATAGCTTTCACGCGATTGCGACGACGGGGACTCTGGGGTCCGCTTGGGGCGAACAGCATGGTGATAACAGGGAATGGTGGCAGGCACGGAGCTGTCACCGGGGATCAGACATCGAGCAGAGCTTTGAAGGAGCTAGAGTCGCATAATTCTGGTCCGTTGTGATGTTGAAGGAGTCGAGCAGGGGGAAGGTCGAAGCGCGGGGAGTTCAGCTAGGTCGCACTGCAGCCTGGCGGTCGGAGGTTCGAGGGCGGCGAGTACGCGCAAGTAGATTGTATACTCGGGGTCTGTCAGATTATGCAATTGATCGAACAGACGAGAAGCATTCGAGTAATCATGAAAATATCCAGGAGGGAGTCTGGCGGGTCAAATGTTCAAGTTGCTTGCAGTTGTCTCTTCAAAACCGTAATCACATGACACGCTAATCATATCATAGCTCTCTCTGTCCAAAGACTTAATAACGCCACAATATGAACTATGAACTATGAAACATGATTAGTTCAGCTATGCGCTTATGCATTGTTGAATATCCAGAAATTACATCCCCCTCTCCTGGTAAAACCACCTTGGCGTCGTCCGAATGTGCTCCTCCTAACCAAGTACCTGCAAACACCCACGCCACTTACAAGATGATAATCTATATGAGACGTAGCAGGAAAAGATGCACGACATCACAAATAGCCAATGTCGCAGCACAAATTGGGAGATTTCTGTCACTAATATACACATAAAGAGAACCTCCAGCTATCTAGAAAGCTCTTCTGATCAAAGCATACCGATCAACGGAACGTGGCTCTCCACAGCCTTCTTCCCCAGCCAAAGAACAGAATACTTCGGCCCAACAGACGGCCAAAGGCCATCGGCAGTCCAAATTTGAACCATGTCAAAGGTTTGAAGAGGGCAGTACCTGGCACAACTATCGCATTATCACCTCCATCGACAACCGACTTGGGCTTGTTGCTCCTGGAGTGGGTAAATGCATCAACGGCCTCTTGAATGATTTCGACCGTTAATCCAGGTTGACTTAGAAAAGGCGAATGGCTCGTTCGCAGCTCTCGATGCTTCACACTAGCCCCCATTTCTCTCGCCATACCAACTGACATCCGCTGGGCCAGCACTGGTATTCCTCGATCCTCCGTAGTCCCGATGTACCAAGACGGCACATCTTTCCACCCGGCATACGTGTACTCGCCGCCTTCGAACAACGCCTTCAGACTCTGACTCGTCAGCTGGGAGATCCAGTAATTGGCCTCTTCCTCTGGCAGATCGTGATAGAAGAGTTCCCGTGGTGAAGTAACAAGCTCGGCGTAGCCAGTTTCCTTATTCACTCGCCAGGCAGGCGGCGGACGACCGAAGAATGGATCCATAAAGGATAGCCCAGACAAGGTGAAGCCAGAGGCTATGAGAATTAGGCCAATGACGTATCCTGATTGACTGTTATCAGCGCCATTTGGCTTTGTGAAGCCTTTGATCGCGCTGTTTCCCACCATGCCGCCATATGAGTGCGCAATAACAACGACATTGCGCCCGTTACTTGTCTCGACGGAAATCGCATCCCGGGCTACATCTAGATCATCTTTGAAACTCGCTTCGGGATTATAGGCTGTTGATGGAAGAGACACAGCGACACATCTGAACTTGGGTTGCAGGAGCTTAATGATCGGGTCATAGCATATCGGCCGATGCCAGGAGCCTGGTATGAAGATAAGGGTCGGTGGACTTGACATGACAAGATTTCAATAATTCCAGTGACCTTTGATCGGTTGTAAGAAATGCGATAAAATTGATCACGTAGAAAGTTGATGACAAGACACAGCTCATGGAGTCTCATCGAGGGTTGTCGTTCAGAAGATCCCGACCAACACAAAATGGGGTATGTTATAGCACGTGACTGTAAGCATCTATCCAATTGTGTCGCACGTCTGTATTCGCTCCCTTTCCCATTCAGCCAATAAAGCTGCTTTGTGGCAGCATATTTGTCTGGTAACCTAATTTGGAGATCTAAGAGCCCAGCGCATCATGTGATAAACCTGGAAAGGTTGAAATTGTTTATCTAATATTTCCCGATATGGAAGGCAGGAACATACTATACGGAATAATCCCGTAGGTAAAACCTCTTTGAAAAGTTGTGAAGTCAAACCAAATACGTTTCACGAAATCTTCGACCCAGCAGTGAGCCCAAAGCGGTTTCACTTGAATATTTACTTCACACTTCATATTCATGACCATAACTACCATATTAACAACCTGACAACAACATCCCTCATTGACATCCATCAATATCCACAATGTACCAATTATGCGCCGACACACTGTCCCCACTAGTCCCGGCATTACCACCACTCGAGCCCACGCCAGTGACTTTCGTGACATCGCTCGTTGTGACAGTCACATCATCACCGATAGTAATCCAATACTCGGGGCTGGCATGGGTAAATCCCCACGAAGCTGGGGGCAACTTGGGAACAATGTCGTCCGAGTGGGTAACGCGCCACAAGGAGCCTTGACTCGTCATGTACTGGGCTAGCGCGGTGTTACCCACGCGTGGCTGGCCGTATGTATACTACCAGTTCATGCATTAGCATCGAGTCTAACAGTTTCTGAACAGGACACCTCGACAGGGACGTCACTTACCAGATCTAGGGTATATCCTGCATTGCGCAGGGCAGTTCCACCTAGAGCAGCCACGGCACCTCCGAAGCTGTGACCCGTCAACACAAGCTTGTAGCTGGGATAAGTTGCTGTGGCGCTGGCAATCTGGGCGGTTAGAGCATCAGCGACGGCCTCCCAGGCTTTGAAGAAGCCCGAATGAGCTTCACAGCCAGAGCAGAGACTGCTGGCATCGGTCTGGCCAAAGTCCAGATTGGCAATCCAATTGCTGATGGTTCGACTGCCGCGGAAGGACAGCACCAGCCGTTTGTTGGTGTTATCTACGGCGAAGAACCCTGCCACATCGCCAAAGTCGGTGGAGCTGATGAGAGGTTAATATACACCCGAGAACCTGAAGTTAATATTGACGTACTCATCAAATTCATATAGAGTCTTAGCTCCCGCGGATTGAACCTGCGGGCAGTAACCTCCCGAGCAAGACACGGCATCACCTGCAGAATTGACGTTGTTCGTGCAGTATGAGGCTGCTGCATACTGGGAGAACAATGTCAACTCACTCAGCGTAGCTGATGAGACATCTATATGCAGGGTCAACATTGTTCAGACTTATCACCGAGGGATAATGCTTTTTCCATCCTACCTCGAGGCACTGGTCGTGCTGGGGCAGCAACCACCAGGGCTGCCATAGCCACCAGCATCCCAAATTGACGGGAAAACACCATGTTTGCTGATATACTCTGCACAGAACTGTGCAAGGGAATATATGAATACTTTGCACTGCGCAGCTTCACCGTAAGCCAACCAGGACTCAGCGGGCTTTTTTTGCTTTTTTTATCTTCGTCTTCTCCCCGTGGGCGGCCTACATTCTCTCGAACAGCAGGGCTTGGAAAGACACTTTATACTTCCTCACGATACTTCACGGCCTCACTATTCTCTAGAATCACAAGCCAAAAACATCTCTTCAACAGAAACCGAAAACACCATCCTACCAACACGAAGCGGGGTATCCGAACAATATCGACAATAAATGCAGTAGATCCCACGCATACCTCCTCCTCCCGCCCTAGCCACGCTCCTCACGATCCAAACAGGCTCGTCGTCCGTTCCTGACGAGTCTGGCACGCCTGACTGGTGGGGATACCTGGTACGATCGGCATTCTTGCAGCTGGAAGTCTTCACGCGGATGTAACCAGTCAGCCTAGTGGAAGTGGGGAAACGAGACAGGAAAGGGAATGGAAGGGGAAGGGAGGGAGAGAAGGAGAAGGCCACGAGGACAAGACGACCAGAGTGGGATTGGGTTTTAGTTCGTGTTATTTGCAAGTACTTCTTTTTAGTCTTCTTCTATAGTATTCCTCCGGGATGATGAGGAATGGGATCGGTGGATGGGCACTGTTTAGGTGTATATTCCGTGATTCGATCCGCGCTAGTAAAAGTGTTAATTCGTGGAGAAGATGGACGGAGAAAGAAGACGATCCAGTAGTATCGACAGCAGTAGTACATACAGTAGTAATGTATACTTCGGCCTCGGTACATCCCTTGTCCAGTGGAGTAGTGTAGTTGGACTCTGTAGACTTCAGCCACACAGCGCATCCTGGTAGCAAAGTCCAGTTTATCCAGTATACAATCCTGGTACGTGTGGATGTAGTAACTCCGGGGTACGTTAGCAGGCGCAAGGACTAAACTCGTTTGGATCGAACTAACCCCGCTACGGTCTACCCACGCGATACTTTTTGCGGGTACTGCACACCTGACTTCTATACTCAGAGTAGTAGGAGTAAGCGCCCATCCCTCCCACATTCTTCTAATGTGATCGGAGCAGAGGGGATATGCGTGATGACAACATTTGTCGGTCAACGAATAACGCTAAAGCACGGCATGCCCGAAAGATGTCCAGCGCCGTCGGAGTACGGAGGAGGTGCGGGGAATACGGCAGATTTTCGGTGATTCAATGCATCCTTAAGTAAGTCTCAAACACTACTAAGCCTTTACTATCAAGTTTTATCATCCCGTAGGAGGATGGCTAAGCACACCGACTCGTGGAGACCATTCGGAGAAATGCAGCTTCGTCCCAGCTGGGTTTAGACTATCGGGGAACGCAGGAGTTACAGAGTTTCATGCTGTATTATTTTGGCTGTTCTGTAGGACTAGCCGTTGAATCATGTATCGTGAAAAGGGGAAAAGACAGGGGAATTGACTCTGTCGCGGGGTATCGCTCGGTTCTTCCCCGCGCTCTTTTGATAGGATCTCACTTACAGCCCATCGATTCCCTTCTCCCCTTCGCCCACATCCGTCATTCCCGTATCCTCTCCATCGCCGCCGGCCAACACCTTGATTCGTGGGATCTGGTCCTCTGGCAGCGGAGTGCCGGGGGTGACGGCAACCACGTTGTCGTTCTCGTCCACGAACTCGAAGTTGTACCGCGACAGCAAGTGAGGGATCGCGGAGAGCTGGGGACCGTAGCGGGCCGAGTTATCGTACAGTTCGAAGAGTGGGACGGCCAAGAGCTTCATGTTCTTGGGGACGGAGAGGACCTCTATATAGGTAACCAGGTGTCAGCAGAGAACAGACCAAACGGTGAAATCTCACATCTCCCGAGTATGATAGACAAAGGCAAAGAATTTCGACTCACTCTTCTTCGGCAGGGTGATAAAGTACAACTTCTTGCACTCCTTCGGCCGGGTGACATGTGCTGGCAGGAACGGGTACATGAAGGTCTCAAAATTGGGGCGCCACCACTGTGCCAGAGTGTCGCCAACCTCCCAGTCCTCATTGACTCCCTCACCAGAGAATTGTGATCCGACGGGGGCCAGGCGCTCGTTCAGGCGCTTCTTGAACCCTTCGATCTCTTCTTCATCGTGAGGGAGATAATCGCCCGGTCTGTGAGGTGAGGCCATTAGCATGTGAGTCTCATTCTTAGTCATTCAAGAGAGAGGTTTTCCTTACAACTTGAAGAATGCATTCGCTATCTGCAGCATCAAGACGTGAGGATGGTTGTGTTCGTGGCAGACGAGGATACCCTCGCAGGTGCGGCGCATGCCGTGGAGCTCATAGTGCTCCTCCAGGCGCTTCAGGCGAGCCTGCACTGAGGGATCCTCCTCGGGCTGGGTCTCCTTGGTGCCGAAAGTGTAGTTGCTCAGAGGGTACAGGCGGATAGTCTCCGGCTGCTGAGCGGAGAAATCCTTGGGGAGGATGGGTCTGCGTCAATGGCTTCATGTCAGTTCCGAGCATGCTCTCTGAATATCTGATTTAGAAGTGGTTCACTCACGGGCGACTGCTCCGGAGGGCGGTTGCTGTCGTGGTCGTCATGGTGTTTGTGGAGAAGCGCGGAAACGAGTAATATCGTGGCGCTGAAGAAGAGGAGTATGAAGAGGGATCGGGACGGCGACGAGGAGAGGAGGGAGAAGACTAAGCTCGTCGCTGTTGATGCATCTCGTTATCGTTATCGGGGTCACCGCCTACCTGAATCCGATTGTAAATAAAATAAAGTCTGCCGGCAAGATGAAAGGCGGTGAGTGTTGGAAGTGCGTCAGCTGGAAGGAAGAAAATCCGCCGCCCAGTTGGCGGCCTCAGGCACCAAGTATCACACTTGGTTCAGCTCATACTTTAGCTGACTTTGTAGCACAAGACTGGAGCACTTGCATAGTTTCCTTCCATATGCAATTATCCAAAGACCTGCTATTAAGATGATCAAGACTTTGTCTGGGAAAACTTCTACTAGTACAATTGCGTGAGCATTGTTACGCCTTTTTTTAGTATTACTTGTGGAAAGATCTGGCACGAAGGGGCATGAACGAGAATAACTGATGATGTTGTGGTTGATTGGTTAAATGGGTTAAGTAAATGTGATTGATTACAGCGTATATCCCAATTCCAAAGCCATACCTCTCTACACTCAACTCCACACCTCTCGTGATATTTTATCCAAATCCGAGGCCCAAGCTCCAAGATCCAAACAACATACCCAACTCGCTTTGGATAGAAAGATTAACACATGCAGATAATTCACAGCTTGGCATCAAAGTCCTCAAACTCAGTAAGATCAGACACAGGCACGGGACCGGTGCTGACAGGCAGACGAGCCTTGAAGGTAGACACGTCCGTGATGACGGTAGCTTCCTTGGGGCTGGTGGTTGAGGTGCCGTTGGTCCGGTTGGTTTGCTCCTTAGTCTCCGGCTCCAATCCAAGCTGCTTCAATTGAACACCAAGGTTCTCCTCGAACTTTTCGGTTACCACGGCAATTTGCTCAGATGACAAGGTTAGCTCCGTGGCCAGGAAAGTCTTGACAATGTACAGAATCTGGGAACGGTCAACGACCGCCATATCCAGTTGTTCGAACGCGGAAGTCAGAATGTCATTGTCCGCAGCGAATCCAGCAGCGTCAAGCTGCTTCTTGACCAACTCAATCAGGCGAGACCGCTTCTGCGAGGCATCGCCATCCGCAGGGCTTGCACCGGATTGCGCATTCAGGTGAATAGCCAGCTTAGCACGAGTCGTGGACGACGGGTCAATGAACTGCTTGTAGAAGGCAATCAGGTCTGCCTTGCTCAGCGAGCGCACATTGGCGGCATCAGTCTCATGTTGTAAGAAGTCAAAGTACTCCGATCCAACGTGGGACCAGTAGCGACTAGTCTCGGAGCCCAGGTTCTTGAGCTTCTCCAGACGCTTGTTGATCACACTGCGCTTGTGGCCCTCGAACTCATCGTCGGGCATGTTCTCCAGCGTAGTTCCAAACTCGCGGAGGAAGGCTTCGATGCGAGATTCCAGGTACTGAGCAGTGCGCTCACTCTGGATGATCACCCGGTAGCCCATGGTGGTTGCATTGTAGCGGGAACCACTCCATACGACATAACCAAGCTGCTCCTTGCTACGGAGCTGGTCGAATGCAGGCTCGTCCGTCAGTTGAGAGAACAGCTGCAGTTTGGCGCGGAGAGAATCATCGGAGAAGAAGCCGATATAAAGATAGTACTCGATACAGTGGTTGACATTGGCCGGGTCCTTGAGAGTCCGCGGGTAGACATAGTTGCTACCCGAGGGGATGACCATGTTGCGGCGCAGATACCACTGCGAGGGTGGCAGGGCACGACCCTCCAGAGTCTTCTCAATCATATCCGTCATGCGCAGAGCATCTTCTTTGTACAAGTTACCATGAGCAAGGACTTCGATGTGAGTCTGCTCGAGCAGTTGTGGGAAGAAGTTGATCACATCCTCGGCTTGGATGTGCTCCAACTCTTCAATGTACTGCTCATTGACCCAGCTGCGCTCAGACAGCAGGTACCGAGTGTAGTCACCGACTTGGTAGAAGGGCTGCTGATACTCGGCGTTACGGAACGCCCGAGTCAGGCGCTCCTTGATGATGTTGAACCGGTCTTGGTTGACAACCAGACCCCGCATGGTGTTCAACACTTTCTCCAAAAGCACAGACATCTTATCATTGTAGCCGCCAACAGAGATATCCAGGCCAAGAATGTTGGCCGCAAGGTGGTAGTCCAATCCAGCAAGCTCGGCATCATACGAGTACTCGTCCAGACTGTCACGGACCAACTCGCAGTAGAGCTTCGTCTTGATGAGGTTGGCGGGTGTCGCCCACACCAGGGGATTACGCAGAGTCACATGGATAGTACCCTTGGGCACCCAGAAACGATCATCCTTCTTGAACCACAAGCGAACACGGTCATCATGCCGGATCAATTTGGGTGTCTTTGCGGGCTCGGCAACCTCCTTGGTCTCAACAGACAAGCGGGTCGGCACAAACTCGTTCTTATGAGGCATGTGCACATTGGAGGTGCGAGTGGCCTCAGTGGACTGCAAAGCCGTTTGAATGCCGCTCAAGAAGTCCTGAGGGATCTTCTCAACCTTGTACTCAGTACCGTACCACTTCTCCTTCTGGTCCCACTGGCCAGGGTAATCCTGAGACACGATGATGAGACGGAAGTTGTCAGCACGGAGATAGGACATGGCCTTCTTGATGATATCCGCGTCGAAACGGCGCAGCAGAGCTCCACTGAGCAGCCACTCGCGAGGCATGGGCTTCTGCATAACGCTGCTCAGGCGGCTGGTAAAGCGACTGGCAGGGGTCTTCTGCTTGAACCGGAAGTCCACCTCGGCCAGGTTCTTCATTTCGTCAAATATCCACTGCTCCGGCTCGCGCTCCTTGATCATCGCAATGTACTCGAAAATCACCTTGGCGACTTCCTGGTACTGCTTCAGACCCTCGGGAGTCAGTCGCACGGAGATGGTAAAGAAAGCCGATCCAGGGCAGATAGGCATAGCGCCTGCGGATAGTCCATTTGCCCAGCCCTTTGCCTTGAGGTCAGAAAGCACACTGCCCGGGCCTTCATGGCCGATCAGATGGCTGATATACCGGCTAGGCTGGGTATCATTCAGATTCTCCTCATCCAAAAAGGGAAAGTACATATCCATAGAGCGCGAGTCCATGACGGGCTTGGCAAACACCTGAGTGCACATATCTTCCTCAGAGAAAGGTTGGACATCATCCCAGCGGTTCTGGGGCAGGTTCTTGTTCTCAACGTCCGCAAACAGTTCCCACACCCACTGCTCGAGCACATCCAGGGTCTCTCGGCCCAGGACTACCAGCTTCGCCCGATTGGCCGAGTAGTGCTTCTCATAGAACCGAATGAACTCGCTGCGAACCTCGAGACCGCGTTTCTGCGGATCTTCCTTCAAGGTCTGCAAGTTACCGGTGGAGAAATGATGGTACGGGTGTTTGGGATTGGAGAGCGACTTGTTCAGTTGCATCAACCGCCAGAGGTCGCTCTGCAGATTCTTCTTGTTCTCCGAGTCTACGGCTCGCAATTCACGATCTAATGTCGACTCTAGGAAAAGCGGGGACACAAAGAACTGGGCAAATCGATCAAGAGCCCCATACAAAGGCGATTTTCCCTCTGAATCTGCAGCGATTGTCGATGAGGTCTCGCAGGAGATCCCATTGGTGCCATTTGCAGATTCGGTGGGGGTGTTCTGTCCTGTAGACTTGGGGGCACTAGAGTCGCCGGTAGCCGATACCTCAAAGAAATAATTCGTCTCGGTGGCAGCCGTGTATGCATTTGACGAGCCAGAGTGGGCGGCTAGATACTGATTGTAGGCATTCTCCTTGGGGTACTATTGATAGAGCCACAGAACACACGTCAGCATTGCTACTAAACACTTGGCCTGTTCCCGTAGGGGCTCTCCTAGGATCGTCATCCACGTACCTTTTTCGTTCCCATAAACAACAAATGCTCGACTGCATGAGCCATCCCTGGCATATCATCTTGATCGGAAAAGTTGCCCACATTGACATTAACCGCGGCACTCGCCTTGTCGGTATCGGGGTCATGCACTAGAAGAGCCTCGAGCTGATTCGGCAGACGAATGACCCGGTAGGACCGGTCATCCAGCTCAGGCTTTTCCAGATTCTCTGTAATGCGTTCGATCTGAGTCATGATTGGAGAGTTGGCAGAAAGGATCGGGGAGGAGGAGTGGGAGAATGAGCGGGCCCAACGGTGCTTGGATGAATGAACCGGGGCGGTCAAAGAGCTGGAGCGAGTCACGGATGAGATGTGAAATAGCAAATATGAGCGTGCAGATGGATTGCAACCCAGGCCTTTGTAACACAACCAAGGACGTCCAGTGACAGTCGAGGACCTTGCGAGCATTAAGGAATGACCTCAGAACCCCGAGAATGGGAGGGGGAGTATGAGATGGAGCTGGTGGCGGCTCCGTGGCCAAGGATATGCCAATTCACAACAGGATGAAATCAGGGAGGTATGATGCACACCAAAGGGGATTGGAATGAAGAAAGCGATGACGAGAGAGGGGACACTGATTGCTAACACAGCCGAGGGGCTCCAGTTCGGCGATAAATAGAGAGGCGGTCAGGGCCCGGGACCTACGATCTGCCGTACGGACGGGGGCGGTGGCGTTGGGACTGGGCCTATAGTCACGGGGCTGTGGTGTGGGGAGAAGATGCACTTATGCACTTATGCACCGTTGCCCACTGTATGGGGCTCTAGTAGTCTAGTTACTATTTAGTACATAAGTCATGGTGATTCAGTGCAGGGGGCTGGCGCCGAGTCATTTTATACACTGAGTTTAGAGTGTACCTCCGAAGGTATCTCTCGGCGCTGACTCTGAGAGACATACTCCGTACTGTCTCACCAGGCTAAACCACAGTTATATAGATGCGGATAAAAAGATGTACTTTACGAGCAAATATTTCGACTCCACTTCTATACCTTAATGAAGTATGATCTAGCTATATGCAACCTTCCAATTACCGCTTAGACCCTTACTGCTAGCTTCCCAATCTAGTAATTACTACGCCACGAAAAATGCGGCTCTAAGGGCTTACTGATTATCAAGGCATTGCTGACGATACCGGGTCCGTCCACGGGTTGTTTTTGGACCTGAAAGGACCTATTGCTTTTATTTCGTGCTATACTGTGATCAAATAATTGTGTAAAGTCGGCCCTCGGCACAATCGACAATTACGAGGTCGGATTTATCAGCACGGGAGGGGTATCGCCGTAAATTGTAATATATAGAATCAGCCGACGGGTCTCGATCTATACCGACACACACATACTTTCACTTGGAATCGTCCCTCGACTCGAGTCTTCTACGGCAACTATGGCCCGACTACCCTATCCAGATTACCACACACCACATGCCAAATCCCGTCCTATCCTCAATGTCATGAAACTCCTCTCCCACAGCACTGCAACCGTGAATCACTGGGCAGATGTAGGAAACGCCCAATTCAAAAATCTATCACTGTCTCCTCGAGATCGTGAACTCGTCATCTTGTTGACCACGTCGAAATTCAACTCTACCTATGAATGGACTCATCATCTTCCCTTGTCACTAAAGGCTGGGGTGACCAAGAAACAGCAGTCTGCCTTGGAGGCATGCGCTAAGCTGAATAATTATTTTATTGACGGGAAACATGACCCGGAGGTTGGATTCAGCGAAAAGGATCTTATCTTGCTTACTTTTGTGGAGACGATTATTCAACAGCCTGAAGTTAGTGATGAGCTGTGGAAGCGTGTCAAGGGTACATTCTCGGAGAGAGAAATTGTGGAGATCATATCTCTTCAGGTAAGTGGTAACTAAGATTATGGTATGTAACTGAATTATCTGACTCCTATTTCAGGGATTTTACTACTCCTTTTCACGATTAACGACTATTCTTGAGTGCGATTTTGATGAATGGGCCAAGTCCAAACTTTGATCCATTGTACCTCTTTGTACCTACAGTACATCATCCCAGTAACTCTAGGCAGCCACATCCGCACAGACATATTCAATTAAATAGAATTATCCCATTCTGATTAGTTATACATGAACTATATTCCCCGAGCCAATCGTGGAGCCCCGTACCCGATGAGGCTCTTTCTTTCAGCCTCCTTCGAATGCACTTTCCCCTTAACCCCACCGCACTGGCCCCTAGAGCCCCAAATAGAGCTCCAAAGACCATCAAACCAGCAAAAGCAAATACAAAAGCAAAACCTCCATGAATCAACTCGTAAAATAGCCAAAAAATGTACCATTCTCGATATTCCACCTGCCTAAACCCTCCACATCTAACAACTCTCCGCACAAAGCGTCAAAGTAATATCCGCATCGGTCCCACAAGCCTCCGTCTGACTCGTAGCCGTAGCCCTCACACCCCCACCCCAGCAAATACTATTACAAGTATCGATGGAAGGGTGCACGACCAGGGTACTTCCCGAAAAGGGATCACCGTAGACATCAAACAAATCATAGTAGAGGTGGTCTGTCAGCGCATACTGGAAATCAGTCTGCGGGCTGCCGTCGTATAGACCGTTCTCAGTCCGGGTGATCTTAATGGCGATTCCGCCTGAGACTTCGTCGTAGCGTAGGGTCTCGGTGTAGTTTGTGCCTGGGTTGACGGTTTGGCGTTCGCCTACTGCAGAGCCGACGGACCACAGGTAGATTGGGTCGGTGCAGGCGTTTTGGACGATGGCGTTGCCGGCGAGGGCTAGGGGGGCCATGGTGGCGGCGGAGAGGAGGATGGTGGTTGTGAAGTGCATGTTGGGTGGAGAATTAATGTGTAAGATGTGATTCTGAAGTGTATAAAAAAGAGATACTGTTGAAATAATTTGATGAAGCTGGAGCTGGAGATAGTATATCAAGTCCAGGAATCGAGGGCATCTTTATACTTTCCCATCTAGCACATTGCAGCTTCCTTCGCAAACACCACCAGCACCCTGTTGCTTCCTCGAAACCTTTTTTCGTAGAAATCCAGTATTCTAGAATTAGGACTCCCTTATCCTCCATCCACTGGATCAGTTAATATCTCTCCTGCCATTTCCATAACAATCCTCTGCGGGACCAGATCAGTCAAGACATTAGCGTGGTCAGGCCGACCATCTAATCATCACAGGATCTACCCAGAACCTGGTGAACATGGTGCAGGTCCCGCATGAGAGATGGTCAAAGGTACCTTACCAGGGACCGAGTGACCGCGGCACGATGCAGGAGATCTCAGGCCGAGAACACGAAGACGGCGATCATGTCTTAGAGGGCTCTGACAGGAACTTGATTCAGATCCTCATTTCTTGGTATCAACATGAATATATTTGTAGATAGCATATCCTTGGATAACGGGATAAAGGAGCTGGATGGTCTGGATAAGTCGGGCCACAATGAGAGAGGTGGTGATGCACGCCAAGCGGGGAGGCGTAGCGGATCGCGGGACTGAACCAGATGACAACGGGTACCACGACAGATAGGTTATTGGGTTTTGGTCTTGCGGACTTCTGAGACACCTTTACATTTCCAGGCACAGTTAGGTCCAGCGCGCTATTGAAGCACCTGGTAGATGTCGTTGCTGATCAGCGGGTGTGGTGAATGCCGAGTCGGTACTGCCCGACTCGACGCCGCCTAACCACGTCGCTAGTTTGGCCCGGGCCATTTGGGCCTTCTCTGACGCTACAGTCTAATGCGTTTACGCATAAGACCGCAGCGACAGGTGACCCGTTACGGCCTAACTATACACGTTCCTGTTCCCATCTTGACTGCGAGAGGTCACCAATAAAAGAGAATTTTTTGTGCCAGACAAAAGTGTGCCAGTTTGGTCGTCCTTATATATGAGAAAAATCTAAGAAGTGGGTGCATCTACGAAATATTGGTGCCTAATGAAAATGTCTGCCTAACCTGGTCGTGCCGGAAACGGGAGTTGACTTATGCCAGCGAGACCATCATAGCCTCAGTGCTCGGAATGTCAAGGTGCACCACGCCCTTGTTCACTCTGGCAGTCTCCCAAATCTCCTTCCCGTTCTCGACCAGCCTGCCATCTGTATAGTTCCAGCTCTGACCGGCCCACTGGATACCCTCGTCCGCGCTCGCGCCGTTGCCAGTCAGGCGCCTGACGTTGACGCTATCGACGCCGCGAGGCACGTCCAGCCTGATCGACTGCACGGGGCGCTCATAGGGTGTAGTTGCGTTCCACTCGTCAAAGTTGATGACAACGTAGCGCACGAGGTGGCCGGATTCATATACGCCGTAGGCGGACATGTTCCACGGCAGGCCGGGGACGTTATGCACCTGGACGGCCGGGTGGTGACCAAGGACGTCGGCGGCGAAGATCTGACCGTACAGAGGGGCGCGTACGTACGGGTCGCGGCCGCCCGAGACGACGGGGACCCAGCCACTGTAGCCGAAGGTGGTGCCCTGGATGAGGTTGTAGCGTGTGATGTTGTGGGCCATGCCTGTCATCAGGTGGTCGATTAGCCACAGGGCGGAGCCGAAGACGCCCTCGACCTGTGACATGTTCAGGTTGTACGCGTTGCTGTTGGTCTCGCCAAGGACTAGCGGCACAAAGGGCTCGTACGAATGGCAGAAGTCAATCGCGCTCTCATACTGCGTCACGTTGTCTGTCACGGCGGTGTGGTTCATGTACGAGTTCTGCAGTCGTACCCAGCCCTGGTTACTGGCAGCATACTGATGGTACGACATAGTCTTGACGTGGCCCTTGCTGTCCATGCCGTGAGCAAACGCATTCTCTCTTTGTGTTCCTAGGGGATCAGCATCCCTTCTACCCGTTGCGTTTCTCAAGTCCACACTCACACATTCCACTCCTCATCTTGACCACTTGTGAAGGTCCCGCCTTGGAAGAAGCGAGTCTCATCAAGCCTGTACTTGTTGCCCTTTAGGACACGCTCCGAGGCTGCGTCGGCATACTTATTCCAGTCTCGAACGTAATCGTCTATGGTGTAGTTCTCCTGGCGCTCACCCAGTGTAACGAAGTACTCAGGTTCGTTGCCAATCTCAAAGCTCTCGAGCCGATCCTGAACGCGGTCCATGACGAGCTTGGCCACCTCCATGGCATTGTCGAGGCCGCCCTCTTCGCCGTAGTCGGTGCCCATGTTGATCTGCCAGGACCAGTGTGTTCCTGGGAAGTTGTTAAAGCCCCCAAAGAACGCGGGCCCGATGTAGACACGGTCAGCGATGCCCAACGCGGCCGTTAGGGATGACTCGTTGTACCAGTTGTACGAGTCAATCTTTTGAGAAGCATTGTACCAAACCCGGTCACTGTAGTCGCGATCCCCGCCGAGTCAGCGGTCCAGTTAAAAGATATCGACCCACAGAACAGAAAACAGGGGCTGGAGATTCAGGTGACCAACTTGGTCCCTAACAGCTGAATACGGGGTGAGGGAAAAAGGAATGCGAGGGAATTGGACAAGGAGACAGACGTACGTTGAGGTACCACCTACTCGGATGAAAGGGTGAGCCCCGGTTTTGGAATAAAGAAGATCAAAGATGTCCCGGGAAAAGAAATTAGGGTGCGTGGTGTTGCCTACGGGATGGCCATTAGCTTTGCTTGCCCTCGTGGAATCGGATACGTATGGAGCCCCAGGCGGATATTCAAAGCTACCATGGGCATCCGTTCCAGCATAGTGAAATCGTACCAGCGTAGTCCTTGAAGAAGTGAGCCGGAAAGGAGAAGGAGGCAAAATCATGGGGCACGCTCCAAGAAGCACCAGTCGGCACCTTTGCAGGCGATGATACAACTAGTGGGGAGGGAGAGGCACTCGCGGCAGCGATACCAGCGAGGCTAAGGAGAGAAGCTGAAGCAAGAGAGGGAGCCATGTTCGATCGATCAGTCTATTGCAGCAACGGACGTCAGAGGCAGAGGGACAGCGGCGGAGACAATATGATGCACGCCCTTAACTCTGTGAACGGCGTGGGAGCACGAGTGGTCTGTCTCAAGTCGAGTCATTGCGCTCTATTTATGCTCTGCCGGGAAGGGAGACGCGGAGAAGGCGTGATTGCTGCTTTTGATTGATCAAGGCATTGCTACACGAGGGAACCGCCATTGGTCTCCTCCTGTAGCTCTCTCCTCCATCGACTTCTCGTTAGTTGGCAGTCTGAAGGGCCGAGGCAGTCTGGAGAAGCTTAATTGAGGACGACTCGTGGTCCACGCTTCTCTGCATTATCCACTTTGCCTGCCACTGGAACTTTGCCTGCCACTGGGGTCGTTGCCAGTCCTACGGGAATAGCGAGGTCAAGAAAGAAAATCGTCACACGTCTTGCGTTGTGTAGAATGACAGAGATGACCTGCCCAAGCCCCGACGGCATTGGCGAATTGGCCCCCGGCTTTCGGCAGCATGCGAGTTCCGGCATGGTGGAGCTGGAGAGACGTACTATTCCACACTCCACATCGACGAGGTCCGGGGATGGACCTCCTCTTGTCGGCTGGAATAGCTGGCCGTGGGGATAGAAGATACTGCTGCACTAGTATCTGGAATCGTGGTGGCGAGAGAGCGCGCTCAAGTGGGCCGATAAAAGACGTGTCAAACGCAAACGCAAACGAACGTCCAAGTCCTCGTCAAGTAGACAGACCATTGAGCCAGGACCAGTCAGAAAGAGAACGAATATCCCGAGCTGCAGTGAGAGCTGACTTGAGTGGTGAGGGTTTGCCGATATTTCTGATCCAGCATCCGCGAAGCGAGGGGGCACAGACAGGACTGCCACCCATTTCTTCGACGTCAACGTTAGTTCACCTAGTTATACAACAATCGGCCTAATGGAAAAGGACACACGCCCCAACTTTCTTGTCATTGTCGCAGATGACCTAGGCTTCAGCGACTGTGGCTGCTTCGGGTCGGAGATCTCAACGCCTCACATAGATGCGTTAGCCGCTAAGGGCAATGCCCTGCGGTACACCAACTATCATGTCGCTGCGGCATGCTCCCCTACGCGGTCGATGTTGATGACTGGTAAGTCTCCTTGCACTCTTCCCTCCCCGAACCCGTGATGCAACTGGGAGATTCCATACGCGGGCGCTGACACCGATGGTCCAGGAACCGACCACCACATTGCCGGCCTTGGTCAGCTTCAAGAGATCACTCGGGCGTCACCCGCCCATGCTGGCAAGCCTGGACACGAGGGCTACTTGAACCACCGGGTCGTCGCGCTGCCAGAGCTGCTCTCCGATGGTGGCTACTTCACCTGCATGTCGGGTAAGTGGCACCTGGGCCTCAAGCCAGAGCATCACCCCATCCGCCGCGGATTCAAGAAGTCGTTTGCCTTGCTGCCGGGGTGTGCGAACCACTACGCCTATGAACCGCAGTACAAGGACCCAGGGACCGAGCCCGACAAGTTCTTCGAGACGGCCACGCGTGCACTGCACGCGGAGGATGATGTCCTACTCAGCCGTCTGCCCGACGATTTCTACAGTAGTGATGCCTATGCTGACAAGCTCATGGAGTACCTGGACAACCGGACGGGAGAGGAGAAACAGCAACCCTTCTTCGCCTACCTGCCCTTCAGCGCCCCACACTGGCCACTGCAGGCGCCCAAGGAGGTCTGCGACAAATATCGGGGCTTCTACGACAGCGGGCCAGAGGTACTCCGACAGAAGCGCCTCGCGAAACTCAAAGAACTAGGCATGGTCGACCCTGGAGTAAAGGCCCACCCGGTGGTCATCGCGGACGGTAAGCCAGAGAGCTGGGACGCACTACCCGAGCACGTTCGCCAGGCGTCCAGCCGCGCCATGGAGGTCTATGCCGGCATGGTGGACCGTATGGACTGGAATATCGGGCGTGTGATCGAGTACCTGAAGGACCGCGGCGAGTACGATAATACGCTCGTCCTCTTCATGAGCGACAACGGCGCCGAGGGCGCCAGCTACGAGGCCATGCCGCTTGTCGGCGGCCGCATTATGGACCACGTGGACAAGTACTACGACAACAGCCTTGACAACATCGGTCGCGGCAACAGCTTCGTCTGGTACGGGTGCCGATGGGCTCAGGCAGCCACCGCACCCTCACGCCTCTACAAGATGCACTCCACTGAGGGCGGCTGCCGCGTGCCGCTCGTCGTGAAGCCACCCACCAGCGTCGTAACCGGCGCGTCTGGCAGTGGCGGTCTCACCACTGACGCCTTCTGCACCGTCATGGACATCGTCCCCACATTCCTGGAGCTGGCTGGCCTCGAGCACCCGGCGCAGTATAAGGGGCGCCAGATCGCACCCCTGCGCGGCCGTAGTTGGGTCAAATTCCTATCGCTCGCCCACCATGGGGGCTCGACAGTAGCAGCAACACAGGACTCGGCCCACCAGATCCATGGGCAGGATTATGTGATGGGATTCGAGATCGCCGGCTCGGGGGCCTTGCGGCGTGGCGACTGGAAGATCACCTTTGTGCCAGCGCCCAAGGGCCCGCAGCGGTGGGAACTGTTCAATATCCGCGACGACCCTGGCGAGGTGTGCGACCTGGCCGAGGAGAAGCCGGAGCTATTCAAAGAAATGCTGGCGCTCTGGGACAAATACAAGAGTGACGTGGGTGTCGTCGGCGTCGCTGGTGAGTATCCCACGCCAATTCAGGGCCAGGGTTCAGTGTTTGACGAGATGGACGACCCTTATGCATGGATCAAATACATTGGCAAGCCAGACATCACGCCAGAGAGGCTCAAGGCAGTCATTCCTCAAGTTGCCGAGATTCATTGAGCTTGCGGGCAAAGTATGTCCTCCCCGGGCGTATGCAGCCCACCTCTTACGATAGCATCGAATATCACAGACGCTAAACGAGCTAGAAGCGGTATGGCAGAGCATCTGGGAAGGAAAGAACATTGGAATAAAGAAATCCACACAAAGTATTTACTTGATCTAGCAGCTTGCCTAGCTTGGTAGAGATGGGAGGTCGAGCGTGATCCATGGAGGAAGCTCCGATAAGTCAGAGACATCCCATGTCAGGTAATTTCCCATCTCATCGGCCGTTCTGATGTAGTCCTCCATTGACTGCTGTTCCGGCAGCATCGATACATCCTGGGTTATTAATGAGACACCACCAGCTCCCATTCTGTAGACCGGCTGGTGATTTGCATGCGCCGCCCCCACCACCGGCCCTTGATGAGTAGTGCAAAATTGAGCATGTGTCGGAAGGCGCTCTTCGAGATCGTACAAAGGCTGCTGATTCTGGTTCAATATGGATGTGTTCGGCGAGCCTGCCGGTCCTCCTGAGGACATTGTCTCGGAACCGGTACTTCCCACCTGCTTGGTGCGAACTTCAGACCTGGCCTTACGAAACGGAGCCATCGTGGATAGGTGATGTATGTCTGCGGACCCGGTCACCTCGGCCTGGCTATCTGGTGATCTATCAAGCGAATTAGTTTCCTTCATACCCAGTTCGACAAGGAATCATCAAAGGGGGAAGGGGACCACCGTACATATGATGCTCTCGCCACTCGACTGCAATATCCTGCAGACCGAAGATCATGCAGAGAGGTATGATGGCCCGAATCTGGTTTGAATGTACACTTAGCGCTGCGGTGAGCCCCGCCAACTAAGTTGCCTAGCACTCACATAGGGGCTCAAGCCATCCATGCCTGCATGTAAGACTTTAAGAAGCTGAAGATTCGTCCTAAGATTGGTCTTCGTCAACTCAACGGACTCGGCGTCATTAGCCACGGTGCTAGTATAGATTATTTGAATCTTGGCGGATTCCAGTGCGACATCTGCACAGAAAGGCTGATCGAAGGTGACTGAACCGTGTCTAAAGCCCTGCCTAATCACATTTGAAACCTCATTTGCATGGAAGCGGCAGCGTTTTTGGCAATCGGCTCTAAAGTTGGGCGGCGCGCCAGCGAGGGCGCTAGCGAGCGGGAAGTTGAAGCCGGCAAGCGATATCCTGGTCAAGTCGAACACGGCTGCGTGATATATCATGTGGAGGAAGAAGACTGCTCCTGCGATATTTTGTTCCTTGTGGATGTAGGAGTTAAGTGGAGTAAGGCGGAATATGTCAGGTATATGCTTGTAGAAGGTCTCCAGCTGCTGAATCAAGCTCATAAACGGGGACGAAGGATCTGAAATGTTGGGCTCGGCTGGGGGTGTTGTGCGAATCAATCTACGGTTTCAGTAAGTAGGCTACTCGGCGTAAGTAGGCGAGATTATGGAACTTATCATTACCTTAGGACCGTCGCTCGTATCTTTATCAAGACAGTCACAAGCGAGGGGAGATCAAGTTTACCTACGACAGCGAGCGAATCTAGATCCTTATCGTCGGGGAGAAATCGCGGAGAGACATAGATGGGCGAGAGAAAATCTCGATCAGAGCAAGGGAGCGGTATAGTAGGGAAGTCACCGCGCCAAAGCGAATTTCTGTCCACGCCGGACGCCAAGAGAAGATCGATCTGATAGCAAGCCCAGACAATGCGGTTCTCTACCTCCCCCTCGAGGATCTCAGACGACACACTCGAGACTGTGGTCCGCTGATGCGGCGAGTCAAGGCCCAAAAGCTGTATGGCACGGAATAGGTAGCCACAGAGGACGTAGACCATGGCATTTTGGTCAGTTCTGAGCCCGTACTCGCAAAGAAGAACAAGAGCCTGAGGAAGGAGTGAGTGGCAATATTCAAGAGCACCGAGATGGTATGTGAGCGACAATAAGAAGCAAAACGGACACACCATGAGATGCTGAACACTTGGAACAGGTGCTTCAGAGAGCACATCCTTGCGGGCCTTTTCCGCCCATGTATCACCAGGAATCTTGGGGCCAAGTGGATGAATCAATGCCCCACTGCGCACCGAGTCGAGGAAAAGAAGCCTGTCATGGTTGTCGGAGAGGATCTAGTCAGCGGAGAGGGAAAGTAAAATGGCTGAATTAAATCCGGTTCGATGTTCAGGAAACCACTCATACCTAGCACCCAGAGCACACATGATATAAAGAAGTGGCTCACCATAGTCCTCCAAAACCGTGTCACAATCCAATGCGTGCAGAAATGACGGTTTATGAATGAACGCGAGACAGCGTAAGGGGTGGATGCGATCGAAGTAGGTGCTGATGAGCCTAGACCTCAAGCCGGCATCCTGGGGGAGTGTTTCAGAGCACAGTCTAGCACAGGGTACAATATTATCATCAGCAGAGGATCAGGAGCACCAGTGTCCCAAAGGTTCACGTAATAAAGAAGAGATTAAGCGCCATCTAGCCCCGATAAAAGGCCGAGGCAGATATGAGGGAGCTGCTGCCGAAGTAAGGTGATTGGCGAAGAAGTTACTGACTGCTGATAGTCGACCTTGAGGCCGGGGATTACGGGGACTGCCGAATTGGGGCTCCGCAAATCTTGAGACTGTGAGCCGCCGATGGAGGTTCCACGGCCCGACAGCTGGGTAGCCGTGGGCGACTTGTCAGGCTTGGTCCGGTAAACGCAGCTCAGGCCACGGAGGATACACCTCTTGCAAGAAGGTCGGTTACGGGTGCAGAGACTCTTGGTGTCGCGGCACTGCTCGCAGGAACCTATCCTCCGCTTCTCCTTGCCGGCAGCCCTGAAAATGTCCTCGGTGGACTTGACCATCTGGTTACGGGGGATATTCTGGTGCCCCTCATCGTAACCGGGACACACCACACAAAGGCGGACACAGTTTCGGCATGCGGGAATGGCCTTGTCACAGCGGACCTAAGCGGAGTTAGGTGTTGAGTGTCCATCTATACCATGCGCTGGGAGAGATGCGAAAGGCTACAGGATCATGGGTGGTGGTTGGGGATGGTGAATGACAAGCAGCCGCATCGAGGTATACATACCTTCCTAGACCGACAGACCAGGCACGCTGGCCCTGAGCCTCAACGCACACTGTCAGTCTACGTAGCTCCATTCCTTTCTGATGCAACAGGGTGAGTAAAGATATAGATACGCACCTGAAGAGCCCTGGCTCGGCTCTCCTCCAGCGGCCAAAGATGGCGCCCGTATTGATGCTAGTGCTGGTGTTGGCCTCTCCATTGGTGTTGGGGGGGATGCGAAGGTAGATCAGGTTGTCATGCTACGGGTCCGGGGTTGATGACACGCCTGCTCGGAGAAAAGAGCGAAGCAGAGTCGTGTGAGGCTCTGCTTGACTGGCTTAACTACAGTACCTCCAGGAGCACTAAGTAGATACCGTAGGTGGTAGGTGCTGGACCTGGCTTATCGATAACTGGGAGTCTGGGACTGTGTGGCCAGGCCGGGTCATGTGATTGGGCCAGTACCAAGTCGAGGACGGTTATTGTGGTTACCATATCACGGATTCACGATATAACGACATATAGATTATATTTACCTCCTTTCTCTTTCTCTTCTATCTACAGTTGTTTTTGTATAATATAGCAGCGCTTAAATTAAAATGACCATCTCTAGCCCCTCGTAAAAGGGGTTCTCAACAAACGAACGAGGACGCGTTGGAAATCGAAAGCTCTCACACAATATCAAATGAATACCGCATTCTCATTGGCGTCCTGGAGAGGGGTGACTTTCTGGAGGCACAGAAATGATAAATTGACAAAAACAAGGAGAAGTACAATAGAAAGCTGCCAATAGTCTACCTGGCCATGTATCGACCAGAGCTTGTCTGGTATCGTAAAGTGACACCCGATAATCTGATTACTGAGGCCAGGGATGCTCACAAGTCCCAGACGAAGAGAATAGAGATTGTGCAATTCCACACGTGAAGCACGAGCAATTTCATTCGGCGTATTTTGGCACTGTATCTAGTTACGCCAAGTAGTATCTGTGGAGATGTACTCCGTATGGATGTCCAGGATGCAACTCGGTTGGGCCGGAACTCGCATCGGAGTTCGCCCGCAAGTCGCGACAGCAACGAACTGGCCCTGTGCAGAAAGGCACCCAGCAAGATCGCCACCGTGAATGGGAACGCCAGAGTTGGCTTGAAGAACGCAATGGCCGACAAATGAAGAACCGTCAACTCCCAGGGCCCCGGGACACACCCGGCATCCACCTCAATTACTTGGGATCGAGTTTTTGTCTCTCTGGGTCACGCCCACAAGGGGGAGGCCGTTTCCCCCGCGAAACCAAATAAGCCCTCCTGTATAAAACCCTTTCGAGACAGCCCCTGCAGACTTGGGGCCCATATCTGGTTCACAGTCTTTACCTTTTTCACTCATATCCAAACTCCCAGCGGCTCAAGGGGTCCGATTCGGCAGAGCACGCAGGGCACGGTATCGTCATCAGGATCATCCTCATTATATGCGACGTGTATTCTCGTACCTTGAAATCAACCTCAAATGGCAGCCGCAAACACTCCCCATCATGCGGCAAACGAGACGCTGGAACAGCGTCTAAAGCATTTCAATGCCATGCTCGTCTTCCTCATGGTGTACGGTTCCCTCCCTGCTCTCTTACCGACCTCAAACGTACCAGAGGATCCTGGAAGGGATTCGGAGAGATGCACAACCTTGCTAACTAGTCTGACATGCCAGATACATGGCTATGTGTGCTTTCAACTTCGGGTATGATGTCGGTACTTTTGGAGGTGTCCAGGCCATGACTAGCTTCGATCAGCGGTTCGGCAAATACAACAAAAGTAACGGGAGCTGGGCCCTTCCGGGATGGATGTCCTCCGTCATGACCGCCACGCCGTTCCTAGGCAAGGCACTTGTATGTCATTCGTGCAGATGAAGAGCCCGCCACGTCTCGTTCGAGAGGAACACATTGCGCTAACACACAAGAACAGGGCTGCATGTCAGGCGGCTGGATCGCTGAGCGATGGGGTCGTCGGATGGCTATCTTGGCCCTCTGCATCGTGTCATTCATGTAAGTTGCTCCTCCACCTGGCGCAGTATACCACCAAGTCATCCAAAAAGCCTGACCCACTCAAAATAGTGGTGTCACATTGCAGACGGCGGCGGTTGACACTGCCATGTTCACCATCGGACGTGTCATCACATTCGGCATGACTGGCATGGCCATTGTTGTCGTACCCATCTATCAAGCCGAGACGGCACCCGAGGCTCTCCGTGGCATGTTCAGCTCTACCATCCAGCTCATGATCATCCTTGGACAGCTGGTCGCCACATGCGTCACCTACGGCACCAAGAACATCGAGGGCAATGCCGGCTGGCGCATTCCTATCGGCCTACAGTTGCTTCTACCAACGGTTCTCTTCATGCTCCTGCCATTTGTGCCTGAGTCACCCCGCTGGCTGCTTAGTCGCGATCGCCGCGAGGACTGCGCCAAGAACCTGCGCAAGCTGCGCAAGTATGCGTCCGAGGAGAACATCCAGATTGAGATCGCAGCCCTTGCTTATGCACACGCCAACGAGCACAAGGGAAGCTGGACCCAGGTTTTCGACAAGTCTAACAGGGTAAGTGTCTCCGTGCGACTCGAAGCAAATAGGAGTGTAACTTGTCAGACTCGTCATCCTGCTAACACCACATGTACTAGGTTCGAACCGCCGTGGCTGTCCTGGCTATGTTCGGCCAACAAATAACTGGACAGGCCTTCCCAACTCAGTATGGGGTAGTCTTCTACAAGTCTCAAGGATTTGGTGACAAGGCTTTCGTGTTCACTATTATCCAAAACGTTGTCTCTTTGGTCGCTATTATCTTTACATGGTTCTTCATCGACGGCATTGGTCGTCGGCCCCTGTTGGTGATTGGGGGCACCCTCATGGCCGCCTTCCTCTTCATTCTTGGAGGGGTAAGCTCTGCCCCCGGGCATCTCAACCCCTCGGAAAAGAATGTCATGGTCGCCTCCATTATGCTATTCCAATTTTTCTACAACCTGTCTTGGGCTCCAGCGTAAGTTCTTAGCACCAAGACCCGCACCCCGATGTATGTATCGACTTACTGACTTCAATTTATGCAGCTCCTATGTCATTGTTTCCGAAGCTGCTGCTCAGACCGTTAAGGAAAAGACCAACCTCCTTGCCTGCGTCATCTCTGTGCTCACGACTTTCTGTACCTCCTTCACCATCCCTTACCTCATCAACGTGCAGTACGCCAACCTGGGTGGTAAGGTCGGCTTTATCTACGGTGGCATCAACGTCATCATGGTCGTCGTGGCCTTTCTCTATATTCCCGAGCTCAAGGGCCGCACCCTTGAGGAAGTGGACCAACTCTTCGCTAGCGGTCTACCCCTGCGTAAGTTTAAGCGCATTAGGACGAGACGTGCCGAAGAGATATACGAGGAGTGCGAGCAAAAGCATAACAATATCGAGACTGTGGGAAATGTCAAAGCTGCTTGAGTTCCGGCTCAACTTTATCTAGGAGTGGTGTTTGAGAATACCAGCTTGTAGTATTTAGTCTAGATATGAGCAGCTATTATATCTGTAGGCAGTCTCTAGGAAGTAAAAGGTAATATTGCAGAGCCTTGCGAGACTGCTTCGCTCTGCTGAAGTTCACCGACCATATTCAGGTAGTCTACATCGAGGGCTCGACCAGGCCTTATCTTTCGCTTTCATCCAGGCCAGTTCGTCAATGTGAAAACCAAGTTCCGCCAGGTCAACTTCCTCGGTAGGGGTACGGTGGACTACAACACCGAATCGTGGTTTGACTAGTTTCGAGTTGTTGCCTAATTTATGTGGCCATCCAGTGTTATTGCACGCTGCTTCAACCGACTCCGTACTTTTGAATCGAATAAGATAGCCGGTCTCGGTGGTGCCAATGCCCGCCCCTTGGACGTCTTGCGTTGGATCGTCGCTCTGCAATGCAGTGTGAATGTGGGTGCTAACGGTGTCGGTGGTGAGATATCGTCTAAATGCGTTTCCATCGCTGCCCTCAATGTCTCTTGGATCGATGAAGGTTCTTTGGGTGCTGATTCGGACGCAGTTTTGCTCTTTCTCGGGTTGTTGGTGGTACAGCGAGGGTGTGGTATTGCCGCCATTGGCTGCGACTGCCGCCCAGGTCTTAGTCGCGGTCACTGCTGGGGCGCTTTCGAGCTGCGCTCGTAGTGCTTTCACTTCCTCATGAAGTCTTTCGTTCTGTTCCTGGAGTTCGTTTTGGGTGGCTGCGATGGTCGTGGTTTGTTGGCGGATGACGTCCTTCAGCGTGCTGATCAGTTTCCACACCTCCTTGGTGGTGATTCGACCCGCTGGATCCGACGGAGCGAAGATATCTCCACTCCGGGTTCGCTTCCGGCTTTCGACGGTAGTTCTGCCTTCGAGGTCGTCCTCCGTGAAGCTCCCGTTGGTTTCTTGCGTGTTTGTGGGAGGGGTCTCGGGCCCTCCCGCGGGTGGGTCCGCCATCGGTCAGGGGTTAGTTGTTCCCTCTCGGCACACAGTACAGTATCTTAAAGATGCCTTTGACTCCGAAGAGTTGGGTGGTACTGCTCGAAGCCATACAGTATCAACAGCCGATGGAACCTCCTCAGTTGGGAAGTCGAAGAGTGCATGGCGGGAGGAGCTCTGGTCTCTCGGCCGCTGTAGTATATGCAACACATTTCGGGTATGACTGTGCACAATACAAGAATCATCAGGTTCGGGTCGCCAATTCGGTGTTCCGACCATGATGAGTCCTGTTGGACTCCTCCTTGGCTCTTGAGCCGATTCAAAAGCAGAGGCAACAGCGTCAATCAAATAATACATGATTTTTTATCACTATGTGTCCGGCCATCTTTCAGTCTAATTCCGAAGCACTTGTTCGCAAACTTTCCCTTGCTTTTCCTTCAAATTGCCTTTTCCTTTGTCCAGACTTTGGTGTCGTGTAATAATGAGACGGATCCTGATTCTACGTTTACATGTGCTCTGATTGCCAGTCCTGTAACCGTGCCATTGTGCTGGCCGAGGGTAAGACAGCCAAGGCGTTCGTCTCAAACCCCAACGACCTCTCGCCTCTCGTCATGCGAGGGTGTATTTGTTACAATTTAGCTGTTTGGTGGTATTCTTGCCCCTGAGAGCTCGGGACTGTCAGATATCTTGATAGCTTGGTCACACGACGTTGATGAAAGGTGCAGGAGGCAGAATTACCCAAAAGAACTATTTTTCTTTTTCCAAATATTACCGGTAGCCGTTGCGCTGCAGGACCATGTCTCACTTGCTAGGGCCACCAGCAGAGTATCGGATCAGACGGCGAGAGAACTAAATGTCTTCACACGATTCAATATGTTAGTTCTCGTTTTGACTTCATCCAGTCTCTCGAGACACCCCCGTTCAATCTTGGGGATTGAATGTCTGGGCGTCGCAATAGACCTGTATTCCGAGAGAATATACTTCAAGGGGTGCGGAGAGAAAAACAACAACTCAATCGGTACTTCCGAGCACCTGAGAATCTTCCAAGGCAAGGCACAAACAAGACTTCACTAGTTAATCGTGGCTACCACGGCTTGCCTAAAAAACTACGCCACCCTATCTTTATCTTGTGTCCCACGGGGAGATCTGCAGGTACAGACAGAGTAGAACCATGGGATAGTAACGGCTGTGGTTTACTGATAGTGCTAAAATCACCGATGATATTCGAGTTAACTGCCCATAACCAGGAAATAACTCCATCCAGTGAAAAGAAAATGCACTCGCCAAGTCTTCCATCTCGTACTCGCTTCAGTTCAGCGGGTTTAGGACTGGGGGTAGAATTCAACAAGTAACAAGGAAATCGCACAGGGTGAAAGAACAAAACGTCGAATAATGCCAGACGTGCGCCAAGATACGCCGAGCCTCCGCCCCCCGGATGCGTGCGGTAGGCCAAATCTAAGGACCCTTCTTTGCATGTTCATCCTTTCATGGGCAAGTCCTCATCGACCTCGTCCTCCGTTTCGTCGAGTGCTTCGTCCGCGCGATCTGCCAGCCACTCAAAGACTTGCTGCTGGCTTTCGGTCATCATTTCACTCAGCGAAGACTTGCTAGATCTGTACAGCTTGCCGTAGCGCTTGGACGGCTTGCGCTCCTCATTTTTCCAGACGCTGTGAGAGTCGGAGACGAACACCAGCGAGTTCTATAAAAATCAATCACGTTAGTTTGGCTGTGTTCATTTTTCCTCTGCACAGACGATGGTAGGAAATAGAATAGTGGAAACTTACATCCCGGTACCATTTGGACAGCCACACTTGGGTGTTAGAGTTAACAGCACGGACGGGATTCTTAGCCACAAATGAGACGATACCGCTGACGCGCTTGTACATGTTTTCTATTCCGAGTCAGCCACCATCTTCTTCTTTGTCTCCTTGGTAGCCTGGCTTTAGGCGCCAACGCCAAGGAGAAGACAGATTAATGAGCGTCAGGCGTACCTCTGTTGATTAGGAAATTGACAACGCCGGAGAAAGCACCACCAATGCCGAAGAAGAACACTTCCCGCTTCTCATGAAAGCTGTCAAGCAACGCGTCAGCTGGGCGTATTCTGTGAATATATGCGACCACTTACTCGATGTAATTGTCCCACAGGTAGTTCACCAATTCTTCGGTTACAGTGGGACGGTTTTCATCGTCCTTTTCGAACTTTCCGGTGGCCTGATATGGAATAATAAGTCTGGGTCCCGATCTCCTTCGGGTTCGGGAAGATGCCGCGGTGGCACGTACGGGTATCTGGCTGATATGTTTTGGAATGTTCACGTCGATCACAGCGTAGCCTTTGCTGAGAATCCATCCAATGTAATCCTTGATGGTATCGGCCTTGCAAATGTTAGCAATGATGAGTTCGAGTCGGTTGGCAACAATGCTGGGCACACTTACCATCCAACAATTGTGGGCTTCAAGTCTACTGGTCACGGGGTCCGGATAGCCCATGAGCTCTGGTCTGAATTGATCAATTAGCTTCGACCCCATCGGCTTCGGGCGAACTTACGGGTCATGGAAAATGACGATGAGCGGTACGCGCTCATGATAGTTAGCGCTGCGATGATGTCAGTCTTAGTTGGCGAGGAACTTTTGTTGAAAATGTCTTCGAATCCTACCTTGCCAGAACCTGATTCTCAAACGACTTGGAGATCTTCGTGCGGTAGATGAACAGCGGTGTGAGCTTGAAGTGCTCATACAACTGCTGGGCTTGATATTGACGAATCACATCTGCAATCCAATGAGCATTACTCAGCCACTCTTCGTCACCAGATGATCACAAATATGACATACCGTGCAGCCGATCAGCCCCAGTTAGATGTTGAGGCGGCTTGGGGTACATGCACCGCCAGTACTGGGCCTGGATATTCATGACCCGCCCCACGGTCTCAATCGCATCTTGCGTTGGTGTAGTCTTGGACAGGCGGTCTGGAGGTTCCCCCATGAGGGTCTTTGTCACCGCCAACGCAGACTTTGAGATGGATCTGAAATTGTATCCTCCCTGAACACTCGCCCATTAGCCATGGCTAACCGCAGGAGTCAAGAATGAATCAAAAAACATACCTCCAGACAGACCGCAACCTTGCCGTTCGCAAGGGTCATGAGCATGTGGGTCATTTGCGCATAGCACGAGGGCGACACGAAACAACCACCCAGCACATCACCAGCAGCAGCATCAAATCCAGCGGAGACTAATCGTCATTAGCAATGGTATGAAATACGGATAGAGTCAAACGAACTGATGACAAGATCCGGGTCGAACTCCAGGGCGATGGGCATCACCACTTTCTGGAAAGCGTGCATGTAGTCACCATCCCCCATACCCTGGTCGGGCCAGGGGATGTTGACGTTCCTAGAGTTGACAGTGAGTTGAGAGTTCCGGCTAAGCTAACACTCCATGTCCGTCTAAACTCACTTTCCCAGCCCAGGGCCTTCACCGCAGTGATCCCAGTCACCTTCATCGCCACCGGGATAGAACTTGCCGCTCTGATAGACGTGAATCGAGATGTAGAGGACATTGGGATCATTATAGAAAGCTTTCTGGACACCGTTTCCTGTCAAAGTGTCAGTATTTTATTCCACCGCATGAATCATTCCGATGTAAGTCGATCCACCATACCATGATGGACGTCCCTGGAAGGTTTAGTCAGTAAAGTCATGTAAGTTCTGGAGCCAGAAAAGTACGCACCAGTCAAGAATCATAATCTTGCGACATTCGTCGCCAAGAACGTTCTGGCAAACACGTGCGGCTACAGGAACGTTGTTGAACAGACAGAAGCCCATGGCGGTGTCATGCTCGGCGTGATGGCCGGGCGGACGAATGACCGCGATGGCGTTCTTGACCTGTCGGCGAGCAACAGCCAAGCAAGTCTCGATAGCACCTCCAGCTGACAGAAGAGATGAGGTAAAGGTCAGACGGTTGAAATAGATCGAGTCCCGAGTTTTCTCCAGATACACCAACTCCTCATCCGACATGTCTGTTTCTTGGTCAGCGTGCTGCTCAGTGCAAACAGAAAACAGTGATTAATATCATCTTATTTACCTTGAGTGCTTCTAACAAAGGCATAATGAGCCTCGGAATGGATCAGAGTAATTTCCTCCTCGGTGGCGCTGCGGGCATTGATGCGCTTCAGTGGCTGCGGGGCCAAAGGTTGTATCGACTCTGGATCATCCACCAAGCCAGCACGACACAGCTCTTTGTAGATGTAATAGATTCGTCTGGGATCCTCTGGATGCACCTCAGAGGTTGGACGCACTTCGCAGTGGTACCGCATACGGATATCATAACAAAGGCCGGTAGCAAGCGAACCAACTGGGAGACCAGCCCTGACGGCGACTTCTTCGTCGGACCAGTCAGAGTTTGTCTCTACCAGACTATCGCGCTTAACGAGGTTGTCCAGTGAGTTGGTCTCTGAGTCGCTCATCTTGATGCGCTCAGGAGGGGGGGGGCATACCCGTCAAAAGGGTGGATTGGGGTGGAAAGGGATCTGAACCTGAGCCAGGGGAAGGGGATTTTTGAGCAGGTGGAAGAACAGACGGTGCCAAAGTTGAGTCACCGAGGTGACCGAGATGTGTAGAAGGAGGGGGTTGGGTGAGGGAGGAGGAGGAGGGTAAAAAAGGAAGCTTCTGGACCTCCCCCATTATGGTGTCCTCGTCTTCTCCCATCCCAAATTCAGGCAAGGTTGCAAACAATGGAAACAAAAGTATGCAAGAGCAAACACCGCGTCCTCTTCAAATGAGGTTATGGATAATGTTTGACGAGCTTCACTATTTCATGACAAGAGAGCTTGCCGAGTAGGAGCTGTTGTTCTTCAACGTTTGTACTTGCTGTTTCTCAACAAAAGGATTCTCCAGTGCGATAAGGTAATAGCAGTCGCAGATGTGATCAAAAACAACCCTTATTGCAAGGTACACACCCTCTTTCGAGACTGATGTATTGGGTTGCTGGGAGTGGACCTCCGTCCGTATACAACCACGTCCTGGTGGTGGTATTTCCTCGAGAACAAAGACAGCCCACGAAAGAACTGCGGCAGCGCTCTGGTTTCAATCAAATTTGGTACTGTAAAATCAAATTAATGATCATAAACTTCCACAGGGCGGATATCGGCAGGTAAATTGTTGTCCCTACAGAGATGGGGCAATTGCGCAAGGTAGATGGGGGATTCGATGGATGTGCATGTTGGATCCCTTTTGGGTCGCTCGTTCTTATTGCCGGACATTCTACCACTCACCGCTTTAATTGACCGCCTCTGCAAATCCATCCAGCATAGTGCAGTATAGAGACCTAATGGCCGGAAGAGGTGGCTGACTCATTATTATTCACGGTTTAGAGGGCTTTCTTTGATGTTGGAAGATCCATGACACCTGCAGTCCAAATCATAATAAGACCCCATTGGCTAGACATATTGGGTAAAAAGAGCGTTATAAGCTTTAGAAAAGATCTATGCTTTTAAATGTTAAGATGCATATCTAACATGCCAGTCGAGTGAAGATACGTCGATCTGCTATGTGCATAGTTCTTCGCGGCGGATGAATGGAACCTACTGTACAAGGTGTGAATTTCCCTTTTTAGCTAGGTCTCCCCCTGTCAGCTTAGCGCCCTAGCGCCTACTGATACAACATCCCTCGACACCAAAACCTCGTCGACCTAAACTGGCTGGCTTGTAGACCAAGTGAGGACCCGCAAGGTGAAGGCGGTCGGACTTGTATACAACAATCGAGCCCCTTTCTTCGCGTCAGAAAGAGAGTGGGATACTCGATGGTCCACGCCTTTTGATTCAAGACCTGCATTATGTTTCGATTCTGGCAGCGACTGAGGCCTTCATCCATATTCTCACCAGTAAACCAGCATGTTCGATCCCATTGCCGCCCACAGCGAAAGCTATCCGACATCAAAAACAACCCAAGTATACCATCACCACGTCCCTTCTTCTCTCACGGCGCATCCCAGAAGCTATACCCCGAAACCACACCTCCATATAAGTCATTTCTTCTCCTCTCAAATACAACCACCCAGCAAGACATCTTTATCACTAACTATACATTACAGCCCATGATCCTTACTCCTACACTAGTGGAAGATGGCTTCACGGAGACGATCTGCAACGAACCTCCCGCCATATCCAGTTCACTTCTCCGCACTTTGTGATAGAGCTATCACCCTATGTCCCGGGGCAACCAAAATAATCAACTATGAAAAGCGAGATGGGGGCTTCAACAGAGTCTTCCTTTTCACCATGGACAATGGGACTCGTGTCGTGGCACGGTAACCGACTAGTATTTCCAGACCCGAGAGGTTAACGACTAATTCTAAGGTTGCGACAATGACATATCGTATATCTATTTCGTCCCTTTAACCACATACCTACATACACCGCGGGCAGCATCCATACTAACTGTCCCATAGTACAATCCAAACTACCCCTCCCAATCCCCAAAATCCTAGACTGGAACGATACCCCCTCAAACCCCATCGGCGCAGAATACATCATCCAGGAGTCCGTATCCGGTATAAAATTACACCTAGCATGGTCCAACATGAACTCGGAACAACATATGCTATGTACTAAGTCGCTGGTACTGGCGATGAAAGAAATGGCGTCTTAGGGTTTCCTCGCTTATGGGAGTTTGTATTCCGATGATGCGCCGCTTGACTCGTCTCTGAAGATTCCCTTCGGGGAGGGCTTTTGTATTGGACCGCATTGTGGGTCGGTGTTTTTGTAGTCGGGGGCTTGGGGAGCGGGAACTTTATGGGGATTCGAGTCCTGATTGTGGTCCTTGTTAGGTTTGAATTACTTTGCCTCTTATATGACCGGAAGTGCTAATGCAAAGAGCGGGATATTAGGGAATGACCTCTAGAGTTTCTGTAGCGGTTTGATAGAACTTGGATTCTCCCGTTTACCGAAAGAAGACAGCAATGACCAGATTCTCCCTCATCAGGGGTCCATTCAAGAACATATCCGATTATTGAACATCAGTCAACAAGTAATGCAGTGCTTGATCAAGGATAAACGCATTCAAGACTCTGCTACACCGACTTTACTTCATCCAGATTTCCACATGAGGAATATCTACGTCTCAACCGAAGATCCAACAGTCATCACAGGGTTAATAGATTGGCAATCAACGAGCATAGAACCTACTTTCATTTATTCCAACGAGACGCCTGACTTCGCCAGTCTACCCGAACTACCTGGGGAGGACACGTTCGAGAATGGAAAATCCTGAACAAACAGCTGCTGGTAATAAATAAAAAGAAAAAGAGTGGAAAGATGCATCGATCTGTTATCAGACATATGATGTATGCATGAAGGGTTTTGCACCTAAACTACGCCCTGCGAGATTGCTTGATCCGTCTTTATTTCGACTGTTTCAATACTGTCACACGTCATGGCGAGATAGCGCTACAGCGGTCCGTCAGGAGTTACTTGAACTTTCGGCTCGCTGGACAGAACTTGGATGACAGGGTTCTTGCCCGTATTCACCGGATGTAGAGGAACTTCAAGAGCATAAGAGGGATTATGAGGATTTGGAGACCGTGCAGAGACTCAAGCTGTGGCTCAAAAGGTCCCTTTATACGATCTCTGATGGATGGATTCTTGATGATGTATGGATGCCGCGAGAGATGCCCATCGCGCTGCCTATGATGAATGAATACGGACGGCTAAAGAAGCCGAGGATCGGGGGGAGGTGTTGACAGTTGCTAAGGCGGAGAAATTGTGGCCATTTGATGCTAGATAGGTGAAGGACCAGACCGGCTGATCTTTGTTTCAAAAGAATTGACAGATAGCCAGGGTCCCCACTATGTCTACATTCTCGGACGGATAATTTACTAGGTTACGATTTGGACAACAGAACAACAGATTGAACATGAAGAAATGTATTTGTTTCATTATAATGACGTTATCTCGGTTTTTTCCTCGAGGCACTGGCTACCTTGAGCGACCACTTCTAGTAAGCGACGGTCATAAGCAACGAAGCAACCTCAGAGAACACTCCTGATCCCAGGGCTCTGTCCTGATTCCTACTGGCCATCGACCTTGGCGATGTAGGCTGTGAAGAAATGGTTAGCACATGTAATTGTAATCTCCTTGCAGGCAGATATAACTTACCGATCAGGTCAACAACACGGTGAGAGTAACCCCACTCGTTGTCGTACCAGGAGACCAACTTGATGAAGTTGGGGTTCAGGGCAATACCAGCCTTGGCATCGAAGATGGAAGAGTGGTCGTCACCGTTCAGGTCAGTGGAGACAATGTCGTCCTCGGTGTAGCCGAGGATGCCCTTGAGCTCGTTCTCGGAGGCCTTCTTGATGACGGCCTTGATCTCCTCGTAGGTGGCAGACTTCTCAATGCGGCAGGTCAGGTCAACGACGGAGACGTTGGCGGTGGGGACACGCATGGACATGCCGGTCAGCTTGCCGTTCAGGGCGGGGATGACCTTGCCGACAGCCTTGGCGGCACCGGTGGAGGAGGGGATGATGTTCTGGGCCGCAGTACGGCCACCACGCCAGTCCTTAGCGGAGGGACCGTCGACAGTCTTCTGGGTGGCAGTGTAGGAGTGGATGGTGGTCATCAGACCCTCAACGAGACCGAAGTTGTCGTTGATAACCTTTGCGAGGGGAGCCAGGCAGTTGGTGGTGCAGGAGGCGTTGGAGAGGACGTTGATGTCGGACTTGTACTCGTTGTTGTTGACACCCATAACGAACATGGGGGCATCGGCGGAGGGGGCGGAGATGATGACCTTCTTGGCACCACCCTTCAAGTGGGCGGAGGCCTTCTCGGTGGTGGTGAACACACCGGTGGACTCGACGACGTAGGTAGCGCCGGTCTCAGCCCAGGGGATGGTAGCGGGGTCACGCTCGGAGTAGAAGCGGATCTTCTTGCCGTTGACGATCAGGCCGGTGGTGCCATCGATCTCGATGGTGCCCTTGAACTGACCGTGGGTGGAGTCGTACTTGAGCATGTAGGCCTGAATGATTGGATAGGTCAGTGATCAGTGGATTTTGTGTATTGCATGATGTGAATGCGGGGCAGCCAAATCGACCGAGGGTCCAATCCCCTAGCAGGTCGTACGGCACCCCCCGTCACCAACATCAGCATCAAATTGAGGGAGAACGTACAGCGTAGTGGACCTCAATGAAGGGGTCGTTGACAGCGACGACATCGACACCGCCATCGGCGATACTGGGAGGGATGTTAGGATGCTTTTCGTTTTGGCCAATTCGCGTCCCACGAAAACCGTGGACACTGATGCGGGGATGAGCAAGTCAACTTACGCATTGCGGAAGACCTGAAAGACACGGGTTAGCTCAAACTTGGATGGTGCCTCTACCCCGGAGGTGAGGCGGGGGGTAACAGATGAGAGAAACTTACAATGCGGCCAATACGACCGAAACCGTTGATACCGACCTGGAGGAACGAGTGTGAGTGTGAGAGCGCGGTGGCATGGTGCGACCCGAAGCGCATACCTTGGGAACCATGTTTGCGGTGATTTTTTCTTCTGTAGGAGCTTGTGAGCTTGAGCTGCGGATAGCAAGGCGGGGGGTGGGGTGGCGGGAGGGGTAAAGAAGTCAAGAGGAGGGGAGGATGGGAGAGGGAGGAGGGAAGATGGTAGCGAGTGATTAGGGGGAGATGAATTGAAGCTTACCTTGGAAGAGTGATAAGATGGGGAAAAGGATAGGATTGGAGATGGGGAAGAGAAAGAGAAGAAAGAAAGATCAGGAGGGGGAAGCAGAGGCAGAAGTAGTTTTTTGGAAGGGCTGACGCAACGACGGAATCACTCTGTTTCTGTATGTATTGGAGTAGTTTACGAGGTGTACGAGGGGTTAGTTACTATAGTTACTATGGTGATTATTACTACGGAGTATATCATAGTACAATCATGTATTTCTAATGATTATTGTACTGTGAATACATCCTCCAGTATATTACGGGAGCTACACCGAGAGGCCCAGCCAAGTAGTAGATGGTATGCTCTAACAGCTCTCCCACAGCTTCACCGGTCCGCCTTGGGATCAACTTGCGACATCCTGATTATACTATGTGATCATATACTATTAACTATTGTCTATCAAGTTCCTCATCTGTAATTCAATCATACAGAATCCATACATACAATAACCATAAGTATCATATGAATTCAATTGAATAATAATTACCCTACAGTATCAGCGCATTTCCCGGTCATTGCCGCCCGCAGCCCTGCCCAGCGCCCCTTTCCGGTTTCATACACCGGGGAAAGCAGGAAGCCTCACGATATACGCTGCTACAATCCCTCGGTAGACCAATGAGCATCCACTGATCCTCGGTCGGGTTCTCGTTCTACCTCGGAGACACCATGGACTCGAGAATCTTTTGCCCGAGCATTCGGGTTGGGAAGGGGAGGAGTATGAGGGATCACGATAATGGGATAATGGTGGGAAGCGTTTTGCCCGTGGTGGTTGTGTTTCCCGGGGGGTTGTGGGTATTCCAAAGCTATGACGATGGAGGGGTGGAGGGGGGAAGAGAGGGAGGAGGGGCAAAATAGAGTGGATGATGCCACGACTGAGGGGCAAAAGGTACAAAGTAGAGGGTACTTGATATTGTTAGGAATGAACCAGTAGAAAGAGAGTACAAGGTACAAGCCAGTGTACCATAACTCATCCTGTCTACATCCTACAGCAAGTATACATCCTCATCTATACAGTGTATGATCAATACCAATCATTCTCCAGTCATCTCCAATACTGTCAATGCTAGTAACATGGTTACCAATATGACTCTGGATGACTATGGATCAATAATCCTCTCCTGATATCCCATCTTCCCATCTCATTGGAGCCCAGTCCATCACCGCATGCGGTGGATGGCCAGCGGGTTAGCTCAAAACAGCTTGCGGTGGACCGGTGTATAAAGAGAGCCACCACCCCCCGCCCTAAAAACAGTCACCGGAGAGATGTGTACCACCACGGGATACGGCAGACTTTTTTCAGCCTTTGAACAGTCTGGAGACTGTCAGTCAAATGCCGAAATGCAGGCATCTGAATGGCTCTGATGATCTGATTTGATATTGGACACCGTGGTTATTTTAGAATGAAACCTGCTGGATATGGCAATTTCTCAAGCTTATAAATCCCGAGTATCCCCCCTGTTGCGCCCCCGCGGCACCCCTCATCCGAGCGGCGAGGAGGCGAAAATCCCAATTTGATATCAAATCATCAATGACATCGAGGTCTTTGACCGCTTCGATGGATTGGCTTGACTACCGATGGGTGTCCTTCTGATATGCGGAAACCACCGAATAATGTGACCTGTGGGATATGCGCGGAGTCGCGGCTAAGCGGTGGAACACCGGGGAAACTAACACATTAGGACTCAACACAATAGAGCAGCACAACCCTCCTGTGCCCTTTTTGGGATATCACTGCATCACTGTATCACTGCATGGCCATGTGCATGGATGCACGGATCCAGAGATAATGCATGACTACCGTTGAGGCTCTCGCACTCGAACTAGGATCCGGAACAGTCTTCTATAATCTTACATAGCCTATCCAAGGGCTGGACGAGATGTTAAAGATTATCGTTGAAGATTCGCGACGGCTAAACTTCCGCTTGATGCCAATGCCATAAAGGGGAGGGTAAAGATATGAGATATAATACAGTCACAAAGAAGCAATTATCCGTGAACCATGACCGGCTCATACTCCAACCTGGACCCAGGAGGAGCGGAAGCAAGAACACTCTATTTATTCCAAAAGAGACTCCATTTCCACACCCTGATCTTCCTCTCATTGTCCATGTCATTTCCAAAACTCCATGGGCGTATGCATTTACTCCTCCTTGACACCACCACGGTAGTTCTTCTCGGCGTTCTCAATGGAAGCCTTGTCGCTCTTGGGCTGGCCCTGGGACATGAAGCCACCGGCGCTCTTGAAGGGACGGGCCAGGTCACCAGTGGCGGGCTTGCCGAACACGTGGATCTTGACCAGGTTGGCCTCGAAAGCGCCCTTCAAGGGGATGATGGACTGGATGAGGAGGGGGTTGGTGTACTTCATGTACAGGTGCATGACGGCCATCATGCCAACACCCATCAGCTGGCTGCGGATCAGCTGGCGCAGCTGTCCCTTGTCGTAGTCCATGTTGGTGGTGGTGACAGGCTTGGCCTCCTCGCCGGTAGCCATGGGGGCGGGCTCGACGTACTTGAGGGTGGTCATATCTATATCGCAAAGAGAGAGCAGTTAGTTAATGTTGCAAAGACATCTTCTTGCAAGTGTTGAAGATTGGGCACGTGCGACAATAGTTTGCGCGATGATCAGGGGGAAGAACACGATCGCACGCGATCAAAAACATACCCTTCTTGGCGTTGATCTTGGCCTGAGTGTAGAGGTAGATACCCAGGATGATAACGTTGGACAGGATATACAAGCCACGAACGCCCATCAGGACATTAGGATCCTCAAAGGGAACCTTCTTGGCCAGCTGCATCATCACAAGGATGATTCCAAGGTTGGTACTGTAAGAGGATTATCAGTCAGTCGACATGAACACGAATGGCCATCGCATTATCCTCAGAAAGAGACAAGGACATACACTTGAGCGGAGACCATTTTGCCGAGAGTTGAACCTGTAAACCGGGGTGGAGTTGAAGCAGAGAAGATGAAAGGAAGATGATCGGAGCGGAGAGAACGGTAAAACCCAAACTGGTCGTTTGCCT